ACTCTATTTGTAATTACTCTAAGGTCAGCATGAATTATAAAATAATAATGGCAGACTTTCATACATAAAATTGATTGAGAAAATATGGTAGCGTCTATACACCAAAAATATCTTAAAATGTTAAGCGTCAGTCCCTTAATAACTCTGTCAAAGAATTTTGTACTGAGAAGGCGTCAAAAAAAAAAGATATTTACACTTGAACCTTTTTAGGTTATGTCCTATGTCACTTAAAGTCATGCTTCCTGTGGTTGTTTAATGTTAGCTTAATACATAATATATCATTGAGAGTTTTTAGATTATTGTATCTCTATTATATATTTGCGTACTATAAATGTACATTTCTGGCATGGCTCCAGGGCTTTTGTATCATAGTGCCATTCTCAGAAGGGCTAGAGCCATAAATCCAGTAAAAAAACAGTGACATTTTATTTTAGCTAGTGTTGGCATAACATTAAATGGAATTGTTACATAGTACTATGATTGAGATAATGCATTATTGTAGGAAATTCTTTGTAAGATACTTATTCTCAGCCATACCACTTTTATTTTTATTATTACTGATAGTACAGCTATTACTAATAATAACTTAATATAAAAATATTTTGTGTGTTGTGTTGGTAGTCTTACAAAGTATATACGAAAATAGTATGAATATACTAAATGGCAACATTTGAATAGAGTAAAATGATTTAAGTCATTTGATATTCCCAAAAATGTTTGTTTTTTCTGTGGCTTTAATTAAAATACATTTTTATTTGAAAAATCATGGAAATATAATAAAACTCATTTTATACATAACTTATTTCTAGACGCTATAATTTTTGTCAACAATTTTTCTGCCATTGCTCTTTCGTACAATGATTTTTTTTGACTTTCGATGTCATTTAAGTCAACAAGAAAGTTATGATAGATTGGCCTTTCACTATGAAGCCCCATCTCGTGCCACTGTTTACAACTGGTTTAATGAGTTTAAACGTGGTCGCACTAATCTCTTCGATGATCTGTGTAAGGGACGGCCTTCTACGACGACGACTGAAGATAACATCAGAGTTGTGCGGCGTATGATACAGCCTGACAAAAGAGTGACTTATCAACAGATTCAGACAAGCTTAGGCATCGTATAAGTCAAGTGCATAAAATCCTCCATGAACATTTAGCAGTCAGGAAGCTTTGTGCCCGGTGGATACCTCATAATTTGACAGAGGCCCAAAAACTCCCGTCGTGTTGATTGGTGTCGTGAAATGGTGCAAAGATTTAACGGAGGTGACTCAAATGCTGTGTTCGACATACTTACGGTTGACGAAAGCTGGATTTATTGTTATGATCCTGAAACTAAGGGACAGTCTGCTGTCTGGGTGTTTTCTTCAGAGGAGTTGGCAAATAAAGTGAAGAGAGGTCGAAGCGTGGGAAAAAAGATGGTGGCCTCGTTCTTCTGAAGGACAGGTCATTACGCAACAATTGTTTTAGAGGATCGAAAAACAGTTACTGCAGAGTGGTACACTAACAACTGTTTGTCACATGTCAAAACTTCGGGAGAAACGACCTTGCATTAGGATCCTCCTTCACCACGACAACGCCTCGTCGTACACCGTCAAGCAAACAATCGACTACTTAGCGACGTCAGATGTGAGGTTACTGGGTCACACGCCCTATACCCCCGACCCGAATAAATAAATCACACCTTGTAATTATTTATTTCCGAAAATAAAAGTAAAACTTCGAGGAAAACGTTTTATGGACGCAGAGGAAGCAGTGGCTGTGTTTCAAAATACCGTCGAGTACCTATCGAATACGTACCTAAGTAGTACAAGTGGGCAAAGTGCTTTTCTCAGTGGTTCTATCGGATGCAGCGATGTATTGATGTAAATGGACATTATTTTGAAAAATTAACTTGCTAGTTTGTTAAGTTTTTGATTTTCTAAGAACTTTCAGTGTCATCCTCGTATGATCCTCGAGCTATTCTGTCATGCCATAATGACTGTGGAATATGGTAATTTCAGCGTCGTTAAAGTATGTTACTAAATACTGCCCTCTCCCGACAATTATAGGCTCAACTCGAAAGTATTTGTAACGAACATTTTCTTATAAAAATGACTAACTAATATTAAATTTCTTGTCTACACAGTATAAAACAAAGTCGCTTCCCGCCGTCTGTACGCTTAGATTTTTTAAACTACACAACGGATTTTGATGCGGATTTATCATCAATAAATAAAATGATTCAAGAGGAAAGTTCGTATGTATAATACGTGCATATAATCATCATGATCATCATCATTACAGCCCTTTACAAGTCCACTGGTGAACATAGACCTCCCCCAAGTAATGCCACAAAGCACGGTCCTGAGCCACCTGCATCCATCGACTTCCTGCATGTCTCACCAGGTCGTCACTCCATCTAGTGTGGGGTCGCCCTACACTTCGCCTACCGGTACGATACTGCTACTCGAGAACCTTTCTTCCACATCGGTTGTCGGTTCTTCGAGCTATATGGCCGGCCCATTGCCACTTCAGCTTACTAATCCGTTGGGCTATGTCGGTTACTCTGGTTCTATTGTGGATATCCTCATTTCTAAGTTTATTACGCAGAGACACCCCGAGCATAGCCCTCTCCATAGCTCGCTGAGCGACCTTGAGCTTGCTTTTACGGCCAGCAGTGAAGGACCACGTCTCAGGTCCGTAAGTCATCACTGGCAACACGCACTGGTTGTACAATTTCGTTTTCAGGTTTTGAGGTATGTCTAACGAGAAGATGTGTCGTAGTTTCCCGAACGCTACCCAGCAGAGATGAATTCGTTGATTGATCGAAGTTATGCATATTATATAATTATATAATTCTTGTGTCCGTGTGTATGTTACTGAACTCGTCTTAAACGGCTGGACTGATTTGTGTAATTAAGTTGATTAAGGAATGGTTTAGATTCACAATTGGACCCGGTAGGTGGCGTGGTCGCCGAGATCTAGAAATCAACCGTGCTAACCCGAGACAATTAACAATATACAAAATTGTACATCTGAAGCTAATACTTTAGCTAAAGTGGCGGTCAGCGCTCCGGCTATTACTACAACACATTATAAGTTACTGTGGAATATAAGTGTTCCCAATGAAATTGCTCACGAGTATTATGCTGTTTATCTCAAGTTTATTCCTAAACTTAATGTCCTTAAAGCTCACGCAGGATGAGGTGTTTCATAGATTAGTTAGAAATACTCCGCCTGATACTTACAGCAATACGAGCATTGTAGTTATTGAATGACCTTAAATGTAAGAAAATTTTCGTAACGTATAATGTAGTAATTTTTATACATCGACCTTCTTGGAGAGCCATACGAATTTTGCACAGTAGCTTTCACCGGGGGCGTAGCTCAGATGGTAGAGCGCTCGCTTAGCATGCGAGAGGTACCGGGATCGATACCCGGCGCCTCCAAAATTATCTTTGTTAATTTTTGTTCAAAGATTAAATAATGAAGCCAAGAATGGAACTATCCGGTTTATGTAACTTTAAACAAACAACCACAGTCTAGACATTTGTCTTTGTAATTTTGATTCGTAATCGAGGAAAGATGTAGATGTATATGGGCCACAGCAACCACTTACTATCAGGTGGACTGTGTGCTCGTTAGTCACCCTTATTCTATATAAAAAAATTGATTAATTAACCGTAGTTGGACAACATTTTCCATTTTCACGACTCTTTTTGGCAGCTTTTAATTGTCTCTCCGGTTACGTAATTTATTTAACAGCGTCAACCGCTAAAAATGGGTGTGTAGTAGGGTAGAACTACCTAAAAATCAACTATATCCAGCAATTAAACCTTAGTCTTTACATAAGTTCTTCTTCTTTATATCAGCCTGTACCACTACTGTAACTGTCCACCGTTGGACACGGATCTCTCCAATTGCTGGAAGGATTTGCCGTAGTCGCCACACTGGGCAGGCGTCCTGGTATTTCAAAACCTAGCCTATTATACGAGAAGAGATGTCCTTTAGCTAGATGGAGCGATGAACTGCGCAAGGCGGCTGGCAGTAACTGGATGAGTGTAGTCGAAGGAAGATCGGTCTAAGTGGCGCGCCTATGTCGGCAGGTGTTAACTGCCGCAGGTGAATGAGTATATACCAGATGGTGTATGCCAGATTTAATCGGAAATGAGATGACTTTTATTGGTCTTTTCTCATAGTTTCCGCTTTCGATAACCATGGGACGAAATGTTGCGATGAATTCTCTAAAGACGCCATATACAGCAGTCCGCATCCAAGTTTTTGGTATTAATATAAGGTAAATACAAAAACAAACAACATTTTCATTTTTAAAATTCTCTTCCTAATAATCACTTATCAATAAAGTCCTCGAGTTCGCGAGTGGCAGCATCATACCGATGCAGGGCGGCTCCCACTACTTTGAGCGACGACCTGGCAAGACACGTAGTAACTCGATGAATGCAGGTGGTTCAGCTGTGTATTATGGCAACTCTTAGTAAAGTACTAGGTCAGCAGTGGAGTTGTGAGGAGCTGTAATGAAGTCTTACCAGGTCGTTATTCTATCTAGTTGGCGACTTTCCCGTCGTTAAATGCTCAGGGGATGTTAGAAAATATAAATGCAGAGTAAGTATTTTAGACACAGCTTAAAGGAATATCGAAGTGATGTTATGAACGAGTCGTTGCTAACTACAAAAGTCTGAACTAAAACCATTATTATAAATACACTTGTAAAAAATATTGTCATACTTTGCTACAACAGTTAAATAAAATATTAAAAATACAGTGTATGCAAGTGTAATTATTATTATATAGCTCAAGGACCAACAGACTGTTTGATACGCCAATCGTTTGACAGTCAGCATATGGATTATATTCATATATTTGAGTAATTACATTCGAGTATATAATCGATTAAAATAAAACTAATCATACAGCGGTCGTAATTGAGACTTAAGAATTAATTCTAAATTTTGGTTGGATATTTATATCATGAGCACTAAAACTACATACTCGGTACTCACCACCATGAAAACGCATTCGACGACGGTCCTATCGATCTCTTCGTTAGTGTCTTCTCTATTGGGCAGCAGTCCGCTGATCATGTGGCACAGCTGCACCACCTGCGATTAAGTTCTTTGTTATCTCAGACCAAAAAAGAAGTATATTGGTCCGAGTTTGTGTAAATATTGTTTTTAATTATTTACATAAATCATTAAAAGCAATATTTACATCGACTCTGAAACCAATGAACATTTACAATTACCATAGTGCTTAGAAGACGAATGAATCTTTTGATTGAGCTCTAGATGTCTCTTATATTTTGACGCTATAGTGAAGAGCCAGCAATAAACGATCGCCCTTAAATTTCATTTACTACATGCTTCTCGGCGAAGGAAAGCGTCGTAGGGAAACATAGAAATAGAGAAAATATTTCAAAGAAATGGGGATCTCTCTGGAAAAAAAAGTACTCATCGCCTACCACTAGGCTTGTTTGTTACTTGAGTGATGTACGAACGATGAACTAGTACGAAAATGAAGTAGCTACTGGAGCCCATGGAACCCTGTCACAATTTAAAAAAAAACCCAGATTGTCATCTTTGCGGATTAAGAAGAAATACCACATAGTCTGTAATTATATCGGCTCTAGTAGTCTTTAAAGTGGAGTATACCAGTGATACGCTGCTACCTGGTAACAGTGTACCGGCCACTCTCGATAAAATGTATAACACAAACGAAGCGTATATGCGAGTGAATTAAAATAAACGAGGAATGCAAGTTCTTTTTTGTTTATAAGATAAGGGTGACAAGCGAGCACATAGTCCACCTGATGGTAAGCGGTTCCTGCGGTCCATAGACATCTACATGTATTGTCGTTTGCGAATCAAAATTCAGATGCGTTGTCAGCCGTGACGACTACGATAGAATGCCTTGTTTCCAGTAAAAAAGAGTCTCGGGTTCTCTACACTCATCATACGAAACACAGCATGATTAAGCTGCTATTTTATGCCGGTATTCTGTGAGAGCGTGGTGATTCCCCGGTCGAGCCGACCCATTCGTGCTTCAACTATATAATTAATATAGCTGCAGCGTAGCTCTACCACGTTCCTCTACTTAACGCAAATGAATTGCCTATTGGAATCCGGGCGCGGTGAGGTAAGTCAGATTAGTGGGAGGGGGTAGAAAGAAGGGTGGAGTCATTATGTACGTAGTACTTTAATGTAATCTGTGGCAGGGGTCCAATGAACCATGTAACAGCGGTGTAAAAATAGCCACTATCCCGTATCGTCCCGTGGATGGCGTAAGAGGTGAAAGAGGGAAACTGAAACAGATAGGCAGCAGAGTTGCCAACCCGTGTGCATATGATGCAAGTATGCGGGAGGCGATGGATGGCTGGAGGACACGATCGCCGGCTGAGCATGAGGAAGGAAGGTTGTGTGGTGGAGGTGGCGCTGACCAGGTTGAGCGGCGTCTGCGGCACGACGGTGCGCAGCGGCGCCTGCTGCTGCAGCCCGAACAGGCCGAGCACGATGTAGTTGATGGCGCCCGGGACGTAGTGCTCGAACAGGCCCTCCAGCTGCTCGCGCTCCTCGCTGTTGCTGCGTCCGCGCACCCATCTGACGGTCGTTCACCATATATCATATGTGTTTATGGACTCGCAATACATACAAGTCCGCAGCTGATCACAAGCCTGGAGAAGGCTTTTGGAAAGCCAATATGGTACTGGGCCACCTGCATCTATCGAATTCCTGCATGTCTACCACTAAATCTAGCAGGGGGCCGTCTTAGTCAGTACGAGGTTGCCACTCGAGAACCTCACTTCCGCATCGGTTGTCGGAGAAGTGTCTAAATTTGTTTGTAATATTTTTGTATAACATACGTTTATAATGAAATTACATTATACACTCATGAACAAAATTTAGAGGAACGCAAAAAAAAGGTTTCGTTTCTCCTGTTACTTGCTATGCGTACTGGCCACAAACATAAGTAAATGTTATTAAAAAAAAGTTTCCGAATGTTTTCTTTATCAAATTTCATTTATTTTTATGTAGGTAATTATTGCGTAATATTGCATTCTTTCATACTACGAAAATTTTTGCCGACTTTTAAATTTTGAGATTTATTTATTAATATTTTTGGCTTGACTGCCTTGTTTATGATGTTATGTGTGAATTGTTACGGCAAATAAACTAAAAATGCCATATTTAAACGCAACTCAAGTTTCTAAATCTGTTACTTTAATTGAAACTGGACACACCTAAAAACATGTGGGGGGTGTGTTAAAATCTTTTTATACGTGGTAGAGTCATACTGCAGCTGTATTAGTAGTATAGTTGTAGCACGAATGGGTCGGCTCGACCGGGGAAGAACCACGCTCTCACAGAATACTAGCATAAAATAGCAGCTTAAAACTGTTGTGTTTCGTATGGTGAGTGTAGAGAACCGGAGACCCTTTTTAATGGAAAAGAGGCATTCTATCTTAGTCTTCACGGGTGACAACGCATCTGCATTTTGATTCGCAAACGAGGATAGATGTAGATGTCTATGGGCCCCAGCAACCACTTACCATCAGGTGGACTGTGTGCTCGTTTGTCACTCTATCCTATAAAAAAATGTGTGATACACCGAGTTGCGAAGAGGTACATATCGACAGACCGGAGATTATATAAGACTTGCAGGACAGGGACTTAAACAGAAAACTGTGGCCAGAGATGACCGGTTCATCGTTACCAGCGCTGGCAACGCTGGTAACGATGAACCGGTCAACCGGACCTTAACTTTTTCTGAAGTGAAAACGAAGCTCCAAGAAGTTCATAGGGTTAGAGACAAAGACAAATTTTGCACAGTAGCTTTCACCGGGGGCGTAGCTCAGATGGTAGAGCGCTCGCTTAGCATGCGAGAGGTACCGGGATCGATACCCGGCGCCTCCAAAATTATCTTTGTTTATTTTTGTTCAAAGATTAAACAATGAAGCCAGGAATGGAATTATCCGGTTTATGTAACTTTAAACAGACAATCACAGTCTAGACATTTGTCTTTGTCATTTTGATTCGTAATCGAGGATAGATGTATATGTCTATGGGCCACAGCAACCACTTACCATCAGGTGGATTGTATGCTCGTTTGTCACCCTTATTCTATAAAAAAAAGTTGACGTACGACTATTTGGCAGCTTTTAATTGTCTCTTCGGTTACGTAATTTATTTAACAGCTTCAGCCGCTAAAATGAACGGATGCAGCGTAGGAGGGTAAAACTACCAAAGACATCAATTTTTATTATCACCAACTCAACTTTTATTGTCATTGCAAATGAGTCACCAATAGCGGAATGAAATATAACTGAGACTTTGAAAGAAATTGCAGTGCTATTTGGCACTTTTATAGATTTTTTGCATGATAATGCACGCCCCCATACTGCGGCCGTAGTTGTCGAATACCTTCGAGACGTTGAAATCAATGCTATGGGATGGCGAGCATTCGTGCCGGACGGAAAATTCATAAAATATTTATAGGATAAGCTTGGAAGACAAACTAAGAAAAGAAATCCTGCCCCTGCTAATTTGAGAGATCTCAAAAACGCATTACGGGAAGAATGGAATGCAATCTCTCAAGATTTCATTGATAACTAGATTACAAGGAGACTGGAAGCAGTTTGAAGAGCTAAAGGGGACACTAAGTTCTGATTTTAGCCCACGTACAAACTTTCTGAAGCATTTATGAAAAAAAAAATGATAACTTTGTACGTATGTTTGTATGTATGTTATTTCCTGTAAAATTTTTCTATTTTCCTTAATTTTTTTTTCTTTTAAAATTTTTTTAGTTATTTTTTATCATTTGGTAAAACAAAATTTAAATAACTGAACTTAATTATCACAAATATCCATTTTTATACACACTTTTTTGCGTTTTTCTGAATTTGTCCACGAGTGTATTATATAAAATACATCACATACATATACATCGCCTTAGATTCAATTATGAGGGCGAAAAGAACCTGAAAGACTGCCATCCGAGCGCCCTGCTCGTAGTGATGTTACGTTAGGTGATATTATTATTATGTTAGGCTTTACAAACTACGTATTCAGTGAAACTAAACGCTTTGTCAATGCGCTACCCAGTCGTTACACTACATACTTCATTTAATATCAATTTGGATATTGGTACGCAGGGGCGGATCTTGAATTTCTGGGGCCCTGGGCTAACACTGCTTAGGGGCCCTACCTAATTACTCAACTAATTGCCATTTTGACAAGAAACTGTTTTCTGTAGTGATGTAGGTATATGTAATGTAATATATATTAAGTACAGGAAGAAAATAGGAAAACAAAATATTTTATATTATATTTATTAAAACATTATTTATTGAAAAATAAATTGACAGGTTATAGATGGTTATGTTATACAAATTATAAAGCAACCTTTCTGCATTTTTGTGCTGCAAATTCTTTTATTTGGTCATCGCACTGTAGGTCCTTTGTTAAATCGCAATTTATCGAAAGAACTGATAAATGATTTAGTCGATAGTTCGACATTGTTGTCCTGTATTTGTTTTATATATACGACATCCTGGAGAAAGAACGCTCCATTTCACAGCTAGTGATCGGCATGTTTAAAAAAATCTTTAAGATGGTATAGCAGACTGGGAAAACATCAACATGTTTCTTTTCATAAATTAGCCAAAAAAACTTTGAGAAAATTTACTTCGCAAATATCCGCGTAATAAAATAAAATGATGTGTCTTACCTAGTATGAAGAGCACCTCCCGCCCTCCCTCAACTGCGTGCACCTCCCGCCCTCCCTCAACTGCGTGCACTATCCCCGTCACCACTAATCCCAGCACCGCTACTCCCAACACCACTACACTAGGCAAGACACACCACTGACGATAATACGTCACGTGTTTCGCCTCTACACGAGGCATCCTCAGGTGATATAGACTCTATGGTGGCTAACCGCTAAGTGAGCGGCGAGCCAAAACAAGTGCCTTTTATACAGACCGCTGACGCAACCGCTCTCTACTTAAGGAGCGAGCGACTGCGTCATGCGATAAAATTTGCGACCAATCACCGCTGGACTTACGCAGCCGTTTGTAAAATTAAAAACAAACCGCCACGCAACGCCCACCCTCCAACCACGCAACCAATCGCCGATCACCGTGAGTGTGACAAACGACCATATTGCGAGGCTCACTATTATTAGAGAGTAGGCTTACAGATATTTAAGAGAGGTGAGTTAGTAACATTTGTTTGTTCATTTAGCAATGCAACGGTATTATTATTACTTTTTAATATCTCTAACTGTTCCAGCAAACACAGCCGCAGCCCTTTATTACACGTATGTAAGACTTTAAAGGAGTGGTCGTTGGCTAGGTTGTGTCCTGTGTTCAAAAGATGTTTGGCAAAATGGGATTTATCGGGATTGCAATTCCTGTACGCGGCTAAATGCTCTATATGAGGGAGGACGGGAGGTGCTCTTCATACTAGGTAAGACTCATTATTTTACTTTATAACGCGGATATTTGCGAAGTAAATTTTCCTAAAAGTTTTTATATAATGGATTTTCGCAAAATAACGCCTGATTCTATTAATTATATTAGCCAAATATTTCACTGCAAGAGGTGTAAGACTCTGTCTTAGACTGCAGTAAGTAAGATTTTAACTGAATGCACTCATTCACTAAATGTTCGTCTACGTCATTTGGATAATAATCAATAATATTACGTACACTGTCCAGATCTACGTGTTCTTAATTTTTGTCTTGCAAATCGATTAAAATTTTAAATTTTTTGCTATAGGTCTCATAGGCTTTGCTTCTATTATTTAAACCCATAATCATCTTATCCAACGCAACGTTAAGCGTGTCTCTTTTAAATTTTTCTGCGCCGTTTACTGAGTTTTTATCTGCAGATTTATCTGAAAATTTTGAAGTAATACGTCTCTTATTTATGTCACTGTAGTCTGTTCTCAAATTAGTACTTAATTTTTTAGCTTTCTCTTCGTATTCCTTTAGCTTCCAATCTGATTGTTGCCTTATGTTTTTCACGAACTCTTTTAATGGCACAATTAACTTATTGCCTTCACCAATGCTTAAACCAGGGCTCTGTACTTTTTTATTAACTACATTAAATCTCTCCAAAATTTCTTCCCAAAAAAACAATCAAAATTGCAGTTTCTAGTTTCGCCAGTTTATTAAATAAATTTCGTGCCCTTTTTCGGAAATCAACCTTTTCATCGTCATTTTCGCCGAAACTATTGAGAATTTTCATAATGCCATCATAATTACTTTTCAAAGCTCTGACAGCATCAAAGTGACAAGACCATCTGGTCTGACTTAAACTTTATAACGTAAATTTTAGTTTTGTTTTACGATTTAATAGTTCCCACCTATGGGTCGAAGCAGAGAAGAAAACGTAATTTTTTTGCACTATTCCAAAAAAAATTACGATTTCAGTTGCAACCTTCACGGATTCTTGACCAACTAGGTTAAGGGAATGCGCAGCACATGGCACGTAATTCGCGGATTTATTTTTTCTTTTAGTAGTGCTTGTACACCATTGTAGATTCCGGTCATATTAGTAGCGTTGTCATATGACTGTCCCCTGCAATTATCCAGTAGTAGTCGATTTGTTTCCAATAAGGCTTGTAGAATATTAAATAAATATAAGCCAGTATGACTACTAATTTTAATGAAAGATACACATCTCTCATACACTTTTCCCCGAAAACAGTATCTTAATACAATAGCAAGTTGGTCATCGTGAGACAGATCTGGGGTGGATTCACATCATAATTGAATAATACTTTGTGTCGTCGTTATTTATTTCAGTTATAATTTGTTTATTTATCTGTTTACCCATAATCTCAATTATTTCCTCATATACTGTTTTTGATAAATATGATATTACAGGGTTTGGTCGCAGCTCTCGTTGTTCAATATGTTCACGTATGAATGGGTCGAATTCTGCAAATAGCTCTAAAGCACCCATAAAATTACCATTTTGTGGAGAACCAAATACTTCCTCGGAACCTCTAAGTGCTAAGCCTCTTATATTCAAAAATTTTATCACTGCAATAACCCGTTTTAGGTCATTGTGATAATATTCTATTTCTTTATTTAATTGCTCCTGAAGCTGCTTGTCTAAAACAGACTTATTTTCTTTTGGTGTCAACCACACTAACATTGATTTTTTATGTTCATTAGAATTTTCGTAAATTTCTAAACAAAATCCTATGTATTTCCAATCAGAAAATCCGGTTGTGTATTGAGAAGGAGTTTTAGAAAAAAGTTTGCAAGTCAAACAAAAAACAGTACCAACCCTTATTTAATAACATAACCAAGACCTTTCCAGCAATTGGCCATTTTTCATTTTTCTCGTGAAATACCTATTTGAAAAAGATCTGTTTTGTTCTTTACATTTCTTCATTAAAGCTGAATATATATTCTTCGGATCTTTATTTTATAAGTCATTCATTTCATGTGAGAGGACGAAATTAATAAAATCATTATTTAGCAAATCTGGCCACAAGCCAACGTCAACATATTTCTCAAACTCAAACTTAATATTTTCTAAATTTCTTTCCAATTCGGTATCGGTATTACCTTCCTTTTGCTGAACACCAATTTCGTTTTCAGAGGAACCAGAGGGTTGCTGGAAGTCAAGATATTGCACATTTTCATCGTTGGTATTTTTTTTCTGGTTCGCAATTTTTTGCTTCCTTCGGTTAGATTCTCTTCGCATAAAATACCTTCCTTTACGTTTTTTAATGGATTTATAGCTATTTTATTCACGTTTATATGTTCTGATTTAAAAAAAGTTTCCATTTTTGCGTATTTATTTATTTCTTTTTCTCGACCAAACTGTAATTTTCTTTTTTCAGCTACACTTTTATATTTTCTAGCAGACATAACGTAAAATAAGATATTTTTCTGAAAATAAACAAAATTTTTTTAATTTTAATACCTACTTTGTAATGAGTGTAGCAATTCACAAATCATCAATAATCTGTCAAGCCTTTGAAGCACACATGAGGCAATCCAAGGTCAACTTTATAGAACGCTCCAAAGAGTGTGGTAATATTTAGAAAGGACCCCTCAGAACCAAAGAGTATATGATCACTACGTTCAGTCAGAACCATAGTTGTTGTGTTCAAAACAATATTTTTTTAAATCTTATTTATATGAATTATAAAACTAAAATTTTATTAGAATTAATTTTAACAGAATTTACTTCAAATGACGAGTTTCCGCCTCGCGTCGCGTTTACGTCACATACTTTAGTATTATTTCCTTCGCCGCGTGAGTGTAAGAGGCAACTACAATTTTTACAAAAAATTAAGTGGGTACAATAGAAAGTTTTTTGTTAGTTTTTATATAAATGGTAAGTAATTATACTGTTTTTAAAAGTTAATTCCTTATATTTTGCTTGGTAACAATTTCATATATTTTATAAAATTTCCATTTCAAATACTGTGTCGTTCACATGTCACTATATTTATATGTCACTATATAAAGTGCGAGTTATCACAATAAATCATGTAATAAACACAAACTTTAATTAAAACTTATTATAATAAAAATTAAAACAAACACATATTCCACAAAGTCCAATGTGCGAAAATTACGTTTTATGTTACAATTTCGATATATAAAAATAAAAAATTTTGTTCAACCGACTTCAATATAAATTATTAAGAATATTATTATTTTTCAGACCTTGATCAAATTTATATGGAACCATATGTGAAGTACCAGCTTTCAAATAAAAAAAGAATCATCGAAATAAGTTCACCCAGAAGGAGGTTATGAGGTAACACAGATAAAAAACAATGTCCACTTCCTTCTCCTCTTTGAAGTCGTTAGGAAAATGGCGTTGGTCAAAGATAGCGTAATAAAGTATATACCTGTGATTTAATTTTTTTTGAGGCTCCTACTGAGTATATCGATATAATTATATTATATATTTCTTTTCTTTATGAAAATCAAGTGTTTCTATGTCCTTGTTTATTTCTTCATAATATTTATTTGATTTTCATCATATCGCCTTTCATAAGTCCACTGCTGAACATAGGCCTCCCCCACGGAATGCCACAAACCACGTGTAGTGGCGGTTAAGAATATCCACTACCCCATATCCTCCCGTGGGTGTCGTAAAAGGCGACAAAGGGAAACAGGCAGGAGATGGGCAGCAGCATCTTCCTGATAATAGCCAAAATTACAATAAAAAACTGCGGTTGCCAACCCGCTCGCCAAGCATGGCAACTATGGCAAATACCCCCCCCCAATGATATTTGATTTTAACATATAGATATTGAATTTTAACATAATATGGCGATTCGTTAGATTTGCCTTAGTTGTAGAAGTGACATAATATTTAGTTTTTTTTCTTTTCAGTAGAATTGTTTGGTTTTGTTATTTTATACTGTTTTAACCATTGAACTTGTTTACGCAACTTTTGTTTAATAAATTGTTTGATGCTGTTTGATGACTTATTTACATGACTTTTGCGGCGGTAGTCACTTACCATCAGGTGAGCCGCATGCTCGTTTGCCCCCTCTTCTATAAAAAAAACCACAAAAATATTTTTTCAAATAATAAAATTAATCCCTCCCTCTCCTTACAGTTTCCTTCCACTGCTGGTCATGGACCGTTACATCCTATAAAAACCCCCAATGAACATAGGCCTCCACTATATTCCTCGTAGAGGGTATACTTGTCATAGGTGCCACGTTCTGTTCCACGGTACACGTACCTTGTTACTATGTAACAAGGTACGTGTACCGTGGAACTGAACAGTGGATCAGTCGCCTCTTACGAAACCCACGGAATAGTATGAATATTCATATACCGCCACTACACAGTAATTGATAATTTCTCGAAACATTTCATTTATCGACAAATCGTCTTGCAATCGTCGTTATTCTAGCGCTCACTTGACCTTCATACAAATAATTCGATATTTTAATTGTTGATAATTTTTTTATTTTTGAATAAGAACATATTAATGGCTCCTCTCTCGAAGTTATTTTTACCATTTTTTTAAAAAATCGTCTTTGGCCTGACCTACTATACTCTTTGGCTTGACCATAGTTCTAATGTCCAATAAAATGTCAAGGTCTGAGAGGTTAAATATCGAACGAGTTCGATTCATTTAGTTTTGTAAAACTGAAATAAATATAAAAAAGTCATGTTTTATAATTCTTTTTACTTACCTACTGCCAATTAAAAACAGGAAGTCTAGTTATGCTGAATACTTTCAATTTTAGTAAATTAAAAGATAGGTCCGGTCCTTATAACTTTTAACTTATCTATCACTTAGTAAACTAAACACACGCACTAAACTCATTTCCAACAATAACAAAGTCAATTCGTTAATATAGTCGACGATAGCAGAAGTGCGGAAAAATAACAAAATTGCGTCGGGCGATAAGCGGGGGGAAGTCCCCAGTAATAGACAATACACGGAATACACCGACCGAAAACAAGCGACAGGGAATTCCCCGTTCCGTTTGATAGATGTAGATGCGCACACGGGTTGATTGATCGTAGTGTTGCCAACCTTATGATCGGATTTTTTTAAGTTCTAGATAATTTTTATTATTAACAATATCGTCTATTGGTTTTAGTTAGGTTGGGGGCCCTCTGTATACGCGGGGCCCTGGGCTGCAGCCCAAAAAGCCTTTAAGTAGATCCGCCCCTGTTGGTACGTAGTACTATTATTTATTCTGTGATATTGGTCAAACATTTACTTATTAATGATATCATTTAACGATAAGGAAGGAATGTTCAGATGAAGCTTAAAATAAAATTAAGATCAAGAATTGATGTGTAGCACTTTATGACGTATAAATAAAAGGGACGTGAATTTAAAAGTTAAAGTTTCAGCCTATAAACGTTTCAATGGCAAGGAAATGAAACGCTTTTTTCAATTTTGCATGCCGGTTTGTACACAATGTTTAATTTCACTGCCGGGCGTCTGGTAAATTAGCACTTAAAACTGCAATTAACAATGTCATTGGTGGCAGCGATTGGGCTGTGGGACTCGCTTAATGTGAAATATACGGTGAGCGCTCAGCCCCTAAGCTATCACAGCTATGACCACGACGGGATACGGATCTTAACCAACCGGTAAATATAAACAGTCATTTATCTTGTCAGTGTAAAGAAACAAAAGGTATAGGCACCTGTCCCAATAGGGCTGGTATCCCAAATTCTTGGGGTCCACATAGACCATGCCGGCCCTGGACACTGTCGCCGGCGAGGCGTAGTTGAGATCCCCGACTTCGAACAGCAGTGCGCAGTACGGAGCGAGACGTATCCTCTCACCATTGGCAAGAGTAAGCAGCTTGTTGTCGTCCATGACCGAGTTCATGTTCTCTATCCACAGGGCGTCCACATCACCATCGAATAGAGAGTACCGTCGCTCATCTTTTTCTGACGGCCTAAATATTTTTAATTATACAACGAAAACGTTATTTTAGTCGACCTGTCGAAAAAGTACACTAAGAAGAATTCACTTGTTATATTACTATTTTAATATTGTCAAACGCCTACTTGCGTTATTAACTTCCTTCTGCGTAGCATTGAAAGGAAGTTAATGGTTTTAGCTGGCAGTCTGTTAGTCCGTATGCCGACACGATAACTTCCGTTCTACTGCACCGATTGACTTTAAATTTGGTATGTGGATACCTTGAGGTAGTAGCTCGGTCGAGTTTGATTTGGGCCCTGTAGGTCAAAGGGCACCAGAGATATGGGATTCACGCAGAAGGAAGTTGTTTTTCTTGAATTTACATTCAACTCGTTTTAATATTGTCAAATGTCAAACGCCTACTTACACAATGCCCAACACTGACTATCATTGCATCTATTAGACGGCTCCGTGGCGCAGTGGCTTAGCAATGAGTTATTGCGCTGCGGGCCGTGGGTTCGAATCCCGCACGGAACAAGTATTTGTATGGCCTACAAATAATTGTTCCGGATCTGGATGTTTGTCCTCGTGCAATTTTTACGTGGTAGATCTATGCTGCAGCTATATTAATTGTATAGTTATAGCACGAATGGGTCGACCCGACCGAGGAAGAACGACGCTCTCACAGAATACCAGCGTAAAATAGCAGAGTAATGCTGCTGTGTTTCGTATGGTGGGTGTAGAGAACCGGAGACCCTTGTTACTGGAAAAGAGGCATTCCATCTTAGTCCTCACGGCTGACAAAGCATCTGCATTCTGATTCGCAAACGAGGATATGTGTAGATGTCTATGAGCCATAACAACCACTTACCATCAGGTGGACTGTATGCTCACTTGGCACACTTATCATATTAAAAAAAAGTTTGTAAACTGCCTCCACGACACAGGAGAAAATCCTAGTGTGGGGCTAACGTTTTAGGGGAATGTTGACTTTTGACCTTAGAAAAACTATTTGATTGCTGTTTCCTTTCTTTCCTGTTCTTTCCCTTTTTACTTGTAATGAGGCGTTCAATATTAGTACTCAGGGGTGGCAGATAACGTATGTATATGTATGATTCTTAATCGAATCGAGAATGTAAGAATGTAGGTAGATATACACCAATGCATATGTATGAGCATTGCCATTCACTAATTTCTGTGTGACCCTTAGATGTTTTTCACTCTTATTTGTATAGGAAAGTCGTTTCACATGTCTGATGTTGAGAATTTCACACGTACTAATACACAAATCAAATTATTGACGCCACTGAATAATTTATTAGTTAGGGGATTCGAACCTGCGGTCCATAGCGCCACCGCAGTTTATAACAAATCAACATGTTTCCTTGCAACACTGCTAACTAAGCAAGCAATGATAATTGCATACGAATGGATACAATGAAATTAATAACAGCAAAAGTAAAAAATAAAACTATTAACTGCTACTAAGTCGTTTTCACTATATCTGAGCCGGAAAAAAAAACCAAAATAGTAAAAATATAAAACAGATATTGGAGGCGCCGGGTATCGATCCCGGTACCTCTCGCATGCTAAGCGAGCGCTCTACCATCTGAGCTACGCCCCCGTTGATATGTGAAGCAAAAATTAACATTAGATACGTGTAGCCAGTAGTAAAGATTTAAATTCAACATTTCCTGCTCAAGCTTTTTAAGCTTATTTGGAAACGTAACGAGAAAAGAACAGAAAAAAGAAGCAAGACTTTCAATTCACTTGTTCAATAAATACAATCGAATATGGATTGTGTAAATAAAAAAAATTGCAAAAAAAATTGCATATTTTTTGTTACACTTTTTAAGGAGCAAGATATCAATTTTGCAAGCAAGATGTTAAAAATTAATTACATAAGATCCACGTAAAAATAAAAATAAAAATAATGTGTCTTACCTAGTTTGAAGAGCATCAACACAAATGTTGGTAGTAGTGGTGTTGGGATTAGGGGAGACGGAGATAGTGACCGAAATCGAAGAAGGACGGGAGGTAAATGAAGGATAGAGGAATTAATTTTTAACGTCTATACAGTCTATACAAATAAATAAAAGTGAAGTGACAGTTTGTAATGTCAAAATAACAGCTTCTTACTAAATGCATATGAAAGTATATACGGTACTTATAACAACGACACAGTTTTTAAATTTTCGTCTGTCTGTTTTTTCCTGCTAATCTTCGGAATGGCTGTACCGATTTTAGGAGGCGAATGAAGGAGTAACTTAGGCTACTTTAATTTTAGAAAAAGAATTAGGGTACCGCGCACAGAAATTTAAACCCATTAAAACCAATCGTTATAAATTCCACGCGGACGAAATCGCGGGGAACAGCTAGTTAATAATAAAAATAGTTTTTGAAGAAATCAACCTGATGTCTTCATGATAAATGTTTGATTTAGTTAATACAATCTAGCACCTGCGCCTGTGTACGCGTAGATCATATTTTTTCAAATTCCCACATGAAATGTTATGGTTAATTAAATACTAAATTACCCACGTGGCTGTCTATAATCTATATTTGGGCATTAATTTTGTTTTACAACAAATTTGCACGGCTATTCGCAAATTTTGTTGACATTAAAATTATACTGACTTTGTACATTTGGGGTTGCCACCCGTATTATAATATATAGTATAGTACTACATTTCACTCAATTATTCTATATTATTATTACTAGCCCGAAATGTACAAAGGCAAATGGGCAAAGGCCTCCCTAATCTCTTTCCACCTCTATCTCTCCAGAGCCACCATAGACCAGTCTTTTATGAAGGAGTCCAGTTCATCCCGCCATCTCCGCCTGGGGCTGTCGCGCTGACGTTTCCCTTTTTTTGACGTTACCCATTGAGTTGTCACTTTTGCCTATTGTTCATTTGGCTTTCGTCAGATGTGTCCAGTCCAGTACCATTTTAGCGTAGCAGCTTTTTATGTGACATCAGCAATTTTGATTTGGAACGGATTTCATCATTCCTAATCCGATCTACAAGTTTAATGGCCAGAATACTCCGTTCCATTGCTATTTGACAAACCTCAAGTATGGACCTCTGCTGGACTATCAAGGAACATGTCTGGGCATCATAGGTGTGGATGGAAAGTATGCACACGTCCATGAGTTTCTTTTTCAGGGATAAAGGAAGACCACCCTTCATAAGATCCTTCATAGACCAATAGCTCTTCCAGGTGTTTTCGGTGCGTCTTGCCACTTGTTTGTCTTGTCTTGTCTTGCCTGGAAAGAGACTGTTTGGCCCAAATACAAATACCCATCGAAGTATGCAATCTCTACACTCGCGACGGAAATCTTGTGATGTGTGCTGTTTGTCATCAACTTTGTCTTTGACATGTTCATCCGAAGTCCAACCTCAAGTCTTGCCTTGCTAAGATCGTCCAGTATCTGAGTTAACTCGTCGGCTGAAGATGAAAAGAGGACAATATCATCGGCGAAACTGAGTTGGATAATCTCACATGTCCAACTTGAATGCCCCTATCCACCCAGCTAGCTGCCAGCGTTCTAAATACCTTTTCTAATACGAGCGTAAATAGTTTTGGAGATAGCGGGTTTCTTTGCTTCACACCTTTACTAATGCTAAAAGATGGGCCTGTCATAGAAATGATCTTAATGGATGCTGTGATATTCTTGTAAATATTTTGTAAGAGTTGGATGCATGTGGTGTCTATAACTTGATTTTCTTAGGGCTTTGAAAATTGAGTCGTGTCTGATGCTATCAAAAGCTTTGGAATATTCTATGAAGGCCAGGAAAAGTGGGAGCTGAAATTCTAAATGTTTTGCGATTATTTGATTGATGGAGTGGAGGTGGTCGGTAGTAGAGAGGCCATGGCGAAAACCGGCCTGTTCGGGAGGCTGGTGTTTATCGAGTGACCCTGAAATCCTGCTTACGACTACTTTAAAAAAACTTTGAAATTGTTCAATATGTTAGTAAATACTCTGATATTACGTATGGCGTGCCGAAAGGCAGTGTACTTGGGCCTACCTTATTTTTAGTTTACATAAATTAACTGTGTGTTCTAAAGTCTAAAGAAGCCCGCGTTTTCTCCTACGCTGATGATACTGCAATAGTATTTTCAGACAGAAATTGGGATCCAACACGGAGGGTAACTGAGCTTGGTTTGATTAAAGATGCATTTTGGCTCAAGTCTAATTTACTTACTTTACATGCTCAAAAAACCAATTATATTTCCTTCATATTAATTAATAAAACTCAACCATATACAAATTTTTCCATAAAAATGCATATATTTGATATTAATAATGCTAATTGTCTATGCACATCTATCAATAAAGTAAATAAAACAAAATATTTAAGAATTGTTTTAGATAAACGACTATCTTGGTTTGATCAGATTGAACTTGTAAATGCGCGAATTAGAAAACTAAGTTGGCTTTTTAAACAGTTATGGTAGCGTGTGGCCTTCTAGCACAAGTATTTTAAATACTCAAAAGAATGGCCGGCAACGCATCTGCAATTCCCCTGGTTTCCCTGGTGTTGCAGATATTCATGGACAGCGGTAGTCACTTACCATCAGGTGAGCCGCATGCTTGTTTGCCCCCTCTCCTATAACGTAACTATAAGAATAAGCTCGCCTTTTGTACAAATATTTGGTGCAAAAAATAATAAATAAATAACACTGTATCAATTTACAATGTACTTATTTCCCGATAAATATTTTATTATTATTATTATTACGTCGAGAGCGTGAATTGTACTACATATTATAGAAAAATAATATAGTACGAAAAACACTATTTACAATATTTTTATTCGTAATTGAACTGTCGCGCTTTTTTATATTAACTGTGACTGGAAGTCTGGAACAAGTAGGTTATACGGAAAAAAAATCCTTTATTAATATAAAATGGAAAGAAGAATGAAATAGAGCATGTATTAATTTCAATAAAAATAATTTGTTAGTTTATTTTAATACGAATCTGAATTGCTCTGATACCTATAATTATTTTAAAGGTAATAAATAGATCATTGATGGCCATAGCGAAGAGCAATAACAAATATGGATGGATATATACATGAAAATTTAAAAAAATGTGCAATGTGGAGAAATACTATATTTGTTAAAAAAGGTGACAACCCTAAGTATTGTTTGCGTTATATGCTAAATACCTATTTAATCAGAGCTACCACGACTCGTAAAATATACGAGCCAGTGTAGACTGATATTTAAATGTAAATAAAATTAGCGAATAGCACTGCTGATCTAACATGAAGGAACTTAACTTATTTACTATATATTATATTTTTTAATTTTATAATATATTTAGTATATAATTTATTAAATGATGATTGTTTAAGAAGAGTGCGTTTACGCTAATTTTTGAAGAAACGGAAACGATTATGAACAAAAAATGTTTATTACAATTTAATAGGTCACAGAATTAAAAATCGATTACCTGTTCATTTCGCGAAATATTTTTGAATATAAACCATCTGTCCAATCCCGGGTGACCGGATCAAGGACACCATACAATTCTATCACCGAGCAGGCCTAGGAGTGAATAAAAGTTATCTATATTATTTTTCTATTATTATGTTTCTGACTACGCAAAATACAATATTTTAATTAATATTAAAAAATGTCAAGGAAACAGTGTTACAGCTCAGCTGATCATTTTAAACAAGAAGTAAATCTTAAGTGTGATTCATCTTTACCATCATAACAGCACATAATAGTACGTAGGTTTCCTCTAGAAGTGCTTTGGGACGCCCAAAGCACGGGCCCCTGAGCCACTTACATCAATCAAAATCCTGCATCTATTATCAGGTCGTCATTCCATTTAGCAGGGATCCGCCCTACAATTCGCTTACCGGTACGGGGCTGCCATTCAAAAAGTGACTAAATACAATAACCATATCTGTTTTAGGCCGGCCACATACATACGGAATTACGTTTCGAGATTCCGTTTCGGAATTCCGAACGGGTCGGCCACACACATACGGAATCCCGTTTTGCCCGCAAAATGTCGAACGGAAAACTACCGTACGTGTGTGGCGGGTCATAGATTTTATATGGACTCGCTGCGTTCGGGATTCCGAATCGGAATATCGAAACGGAATCTCGAAACGGAATTCCGCATGTATGTGGCCGGCCTTAGACAGCTTTGCTGACACTTGTAAAGATGGGTGGTTTAATACATTTTTAGAATTTTGTTTTTAGGAATCGAATGATTGATTCTCAAATACATTAAAAGATAATCTTAATTCTAGTTAAACAAACAGAATGTTCAACTGAACTGACATAGACAATTATCTTTTGTCTATGTTATAGTCGTATTTACTAGTGGTAGGACTCATTTTCTGCCTAGAGGTCCGTCTGGATAGGTCCTAACGTCTGGTATTTAGATTGCACTGCTGTTCCGTGTCCGAAGGGTATAGAGAGCCAGTATATTTACACACTGTGAGGCATTCTAGTTTAGTCCCCAAAGGTGACAACGCATTAGTAGTAACGGCTTCGTGGCGCAGTGGCTTAGCAATGAGTTGCTGCGCTGGGGGCCGTTGGTTCGAATCCCGCACGGAACAAGTATTTGTATGGCCTACAAATAATTGTTCCGGGTCTGGATGTTTGTCCTTGTGCAATTTGTGTTTGTAAATTGCCTCCACGATACAGGAGAAAATCCTAATGTGGGGGCAAAGTTTTTAAAATAAAAAAAAGAAAAGTAGTGTTATTAGTGCAAGTTAGTTACAGGTGTCCATGAACTGCAATAATCACTTACCATCGGATGTACCGTAAACTCACTATTCATTTCAGTTTTCAGAGTACGCGATGTAATGGAAACGCTTATGAGATAAGATCGGGGATCAACACAATCCATCCAGTAGCCACCGTGCGATGGCAGGCCAAGAATTCATGTTTTTGGCACAAATATTGTTCCGGCTAGGGTTTGCTTCAAAGAAATTTAGGTTAAACCAGTCCGTTTGCACTCTCCCAAGAGTCATGGGGCACGAGGCCAAGGACCAACCAAACAGGGGCCTTAATTATCGAAACATATGAACATATTTTTATACACGTGCATAAATTTAGAAAACTTTTTCGTTTTTGTATAATGTATAGTGGCGGCGTAAGAGAATCCACTACGCCTTTCATCCCGTGGGTGTCGTAAGTGATGACAGAGGGAAACTGAAACAGGACATGGGCAGAAGCATCTTCCTCATAACGACATCTGTAATGTATTTATGTATAATCGTTGACACGTCTGTTCGATTAGGTCAGTTCTGTCGATTTAGGAAATAATAATAATAATAATAAATTTATTTATTTACCAGAAACACTTAGCCAAAATACAGAAAAGTTCTGTGACTCCCACACTAGGCATGGCCTGTCTCGTGGGGGTCAAACAAAAGATTTTACAATAGAACAAACTGGCTATTTGTCGAAATTACGTAAAACAATTATGCGTATCAAAGGAAAAAAAATACGACTTAAAATTATGAAAAATTACAGACAAAAACAAGTAATTGAGGGTGAGTGTGTATGAGTGTGTGTGTGTCTGTGTGTGTATGAGTGTGTATGAGTGTGTGAGTGTGTATGAGTGTGTATGAGTGTGTATTAGTGCGTGAGAGTGTATGAGTGTGTATGAGTGTGTATGAGTGTGTATGAGTGTGTATGAGTGTGTATGAGTGTGTATGAGTGTGTATGAGTGTGTATGAGTGTGTATGAGTGTGTATGAGTGTGTATGAGTGTGTATGAGTGTGTATGAGTGTGTATGAGTGTGTATGAGTGTGTATATGTGAATGAGTGTGTATGAGTGTGTATGAGTGAGTATGAGTGTGTATGAGTATGTATGAGTGTGTATGAGTGTGTATATGTGTATGAGTGTGAGAGTGTGTATGAGTGTGTATGAGTGTGTATATGTGTATGAGTGTGTGTGAGTGTGTATGAGTGTGTATGAGTGTGTATGAATGTGTGAGTGTGTATGAGTGTGTAAAAGTGTGTATGGGTGTGTATGGGTGTGTATGCGTGTGTATGAGTGTGTATGTGTGTGTATGAGTGTGTATGAGTGTGTAGGTGTGTGTAGGTGTGTGTATGAGTGTGTATGAGTGTGTAAGAGTGTGTATGAGTGTGTATTAGTGTGTATGAGTGTGTAAGAGTGTGTATGGTGTGTATGAGTGTGTATGAGTGTGTATGAGTATGTATGAGTGTGTATGAGTGTGTATGAGTGTGTGAGTGTGTGAGTGTGTGTTTGTGTGTGTGTGTGTGTGTGTGTGTGTGCGTGCGTGCGTGCGTGCGTGCGTGCGTGCGTGCGTGCGTGTGTGTGTGTGTGTGTGTGTGTGGATGTTGGGATCAGATGGCAGGGCTGGCGTCATTGCTGTCCACTACCGTTTTAACACCTATATAAGGGTCACCAATATTTATTGTTTCCTCATAGTCCCAAGTCAATAAATAGTTCATCATTTTTGTTTTAGCCTCGTAATGTAGGGATCGCTTTATAAATATTCACACAATATATAAGTTTTTCAAGACGATGGTTCATAGCTATGCTAGGATGTGACAGGTGGCGTTGTAGTCAAAATATTAACTAATTTCATATGTAGTATGGTCCATATAAAATACGAGGGAGGCATGGTTTCGTTTAAAATAGTAGAGGGAACATAGTTCAGCAGTCGACTTTTGACGGGCTGTAAACTATAATAACCATTAGTCATCAAATAAGAGCACATTTTTACTTTTTAATAGGCATCCAAGCTTTGTGTGCTCTAGGGCCCATGCATGATCTAATATGGTTTGGCGCTGAACACTACCGTTAGCTTATATCACAAAAACAACTGACCTTAGGATTGAGTACGGTGAGTTTAGTGGGCAGGCCGAGATCGGTCTGCGCCTTAACTAAAGTCTGTAGTATGACTGTTTTTCCTCCGCCCGTCGGGCCCACCAGCATAGTACAGTGACGGGTCATCATCGTCTCATACAGCTGTACTACTTTGTCCACCTTACGTTGCGAGCAAAAAAATCAATTTTAACTAAAATATTAGACTATGATTAGATGTAGCGATGATCTGTAGGCGGCTGTTAACGACTGATGACCTTACTGATAAAATTGTCAGTATAATTAACAGTATAAAAAAAATTAAGTTATTCTCTCTTGTATTACTAAATGACAATAGAAAGAGACAGGTATGGAGGTAATTAGATCTTAATATAAGCAAGCGACGTGGTAGAGCCATGCTGCAGCTATATTATGGTTGTAGCACGAATGGGTCGGCTCGAACGGGGAAGGACCACGCTCTCATAGAAAACCAGCGTAAAATAGCAGTTTAACGCTGCTGTGTTTCGTATGGTGAGTGTAGAGAACCGGAGACCCTTTTTACTGGCAAAGAGGCATTCCATCTTAGTCCTCACGGGTGACAACGCATGTGCATCTTGAGTCTTTATTGAGGATAGATGTAGATGTCTATGGGTCACAGTAACCACTTACCATCAGGTGGACTGTGTGCTCGTTTGTCACCCGATACTATAAAAAAAAGCGATAATCAACGATTATAAGTAAGTCCTTGAATGCTTGTAGCTGAAAACCGGGCACAATTTGTAAATGACCAATGTCCATGTGTGGACTCTCGCAGTCTGATGATGAACAGTATCCTCTCCAAATCGAAAAATTGAACTCAAGCACCGAATGAGCTGAATGAATGGAATATTATACAATGTTACAAAAACTTAATGTGTGTAGACCATCGATCACTAATAAATTAGTGATCGATGGTGTAGGCATATATTTATAGTTGGCTGTATGAACATATAAAAAGATTTCTTTAACTATTATAAGCCAGTGCTTGACTACAATTTCACTGATGGTAAGTAATGATGTAGCCGAAGTTGAGAAAGCGCACTGACTTAGCAAATGCCTATTCACGCTTGTTATTGTTTGTCACAATTTACTTAACAATAATAAATACAATGAACTTCCATTAAAGTGTGTGTAAGTGAAAATAAGTAAGACTCAGTCAATTAAGATAACATTGGTACCGACATTAAACAACTTTACAAGCACTTTTAGAAAAGAAACAAACAAGTTATTAAGACATATTTGCCCTTTCTTCCGCAGAAAATATCTTCGCGTTATTAATTTCTTCTTAAACTTTTCATATAGAAATGTAACAATTAATTTGATTCGGCAATTTCGCAAATTTTATAACATTGTAAAAATAGTATTTTACCTGATGCGGTAGAACGATATATCCGTCCCTCTCCAGAACCTGAGTGACGGCCGCATTGAATTCCGGGTAACCAACGCGCGGACACTCTAAGCCGGGGAATAGGTCCTTGATCAGGCCCAGGAACAATGGCACGTCTTCGAACACGAATTTCGGATGGTTCATATCCCTTTTAGAAATGTATTATTTTAGATCAAGTAATATTACATAAAAACATTTTATAAATAAAGCAAGACTTAAAATCACCGCAAACTGAGGCCAGTTAGTATGTCGATTATGAATGAATAAAAGGCATAGCGAAAGAAATATCGCATGTATTTTTTGTAATTGTTTTAAGCTTAAAGTTCAATATAAAAGCGTTATTGGAAAAAAAGCGATAACTGAAAATTGACTACAAAATGATTTATAACGAATAACCTAACGAAAATATGTACACATTATTGATAAAAAAAACGGTAAAATCTATTAAACGTGAGACATAACGATACATATAAATTAAAATTAATGCAACCGAACCGACAACCTCCGTCTTTGAAACCCGCTTAATAGGAATAGATTCATTAGTAACTAAAAGGAAAATTAATAGACATATTATATAGTGCGATTTACCACCGAGGAATTCTCATCACCACTTACCACAAGCGTGAATTGTATGTGTAATTGTATAATTGTAACTGTTTTATAATAACTAAAAAGCCGTATTAGGTAGGGCGTGTGCTGAATTTATTCAATTTTATTTAATTCCTTTATCGTCATTTTTTTCTTCAAAAAGTACCTATACAAAACACGCGCATATTCGAATGTAACGTTGTGTGAAAATTACAAAACAATCAGTGAAGAACTTTATGATACGAGGGCGACACTGAAAGTTTTTAGTGGTCGCACTAATCTCACCCATGATCTGTGTGAGGGACGACCTTCTACGGTGACGACTGAGAATAACATCAGTGTTATGCGACGTATGATAGATACTGACATCAGGAAGCTTTGTGCCCGGTGGACATCTCATAATTTGACAGAGGCCCAAAAACTCCGTCGTGTTGATTGGTGTCGTGAAATGGTGCAAAGATTAAACGGAGGTGACGCAAATGCTGTGTTCGACATACTTACGGGTGATGAAAGCTGGATTTATTGTTATCATCCTGAAACTAATAGACAGTCTGCTGTCTTGGGGTGTTTCCTTCCGAGGAGTTGCCAACTAAAGAGGAGAGGTCAAAGCGTGGGGAAAAAAGATGGTGGCCTCGTTCTTCGGAAGGACAGGTGATTACGCAACAATTGTTTTAGAGGATCGAAAAACAGTTACTGGAGAGTGGTACACTAACAATTATTTGCTACTTGTCTTGGAAAAAGTTCGGGAGAAACAACCTCGCAGTAGGGTCCTCCTTCACCACGACGGTCGTCGCACACCGCCAAGCAAGCAATCGACTACTTGGTGACGTCACCCGCCCTATAGCCGCAACCTCGCGATTTTTATTTCCGAAAATAAAAAAAAACTTCGAGGAAAACGTTTTATAGACGCCGGGGAAGCAGTGGCTGCGTTTTAAAATGCAGTCGAAGAGACCCCTAAGGAAGAGTAGGCAAAGTGCTTTTCTCAGTGGTTCCATCGGATGCAGCGATGTATTGCTGTAAATGGATACTATTTTGAAAAGATATAACAAAACTAATAACTTGCTAGTTTGTTCAGCTTTTGATTTTCTAAGATCTTTCAGTGTCACCCTCGTATTAGAGATTTTGAACAAATGAATAGTACAATACAGAAAACAGTACGAAAATTTTATTTATATACTCGTAGATTAAAAATATATAGTTTGATGTCGATTAATTTTGGCCAATAATTTGACTATTCGCCATACGGAATCGGGAATGATCAAAGCAAAATTTAAAATACTTTTTGGATATTGTCATTTACAAAGCAGCTTTTTGAAAGTCTAAAAAGTGGCGTAGCTTTTTCGTTCAGCAAGTCCATAACAAAATATGCCTCCTAAAGGAATGCTCATAACACGGTTCTGAGACACCTGCATCCATCGACTTTCTGCATCACTAGCGGGAGCCACCCTACACTTCGCTTACCGACACGGGAATGCCATTCAAGAACCTTTCCTTCTCATCGGTTGTCGGGTCTTCGAGCTATACGACCAGCCTATTGCCACTTCAACTTACTGGTCCGTTGAGCTATGTCGGTTACTCTAGTTCTGCTGCGGATATCCTCAATACGAAGTTTATCGCGCAGGAAAACAACCGTTCGTAATCTTGGGCTTCTCCATACGGCCAGCTGTGATGGACCACGTTTCAGATCCATGTCATCACTGGTAACACGCACTGGTTATAAATTCTTGTCCTCAGAGAAACTCAGAGCACAGCCCCTTCCGTAGTTCGGTGCGCGACCTTTAGCTTGCTTGACTACGGGATCGCCGCATTACTGGTCATAATTAAACTTCTATGTACACTACTACGAGCGGCAATTCAGCACAAAAACTGCGTCACAGTTGCGCTGGTAGCTGGTACGGTAAATATGACACACTGTTGTATTTTTATTTCCGACACTTACTGTTTTTAAACAAATATGAAATAAAGTTAGGTACTTATCAGAAATAAACTTCAAGTCGCGTTGACAAAGTGCCACTTTATTTACGCTAATATGTGACATAAATAATGACAGCGTTTTTTTGGTCACATTAAACAAAAATCAGTATTAGATTGTCGAAAACAACGTTCACAGTTTACAAAACAAAGAACTAGTCTTCCCGCTTTTTCGCAGTCGACTACACCTGCACCTGCCACAAAATTTCATCATTACACGAAAAATGCCGATAGGCATTAAGAGCGTAGACGGGCTGCATTTTTTCCATACAAATGTATACGCCTATTCTCTTCCTGGATAATGCCTCTGAGTGATCTTTTTTGTTTATAAAAATCTAGGTCTATTGAAGGCATGCCCCTGTCATTTATTTTTTCCAAAAAACTATTACAAAAATAAATTAGACTTTCCAAAAACCTAAAGCAATGCCCCGTTTTTACCTCCGTAATCAGACGATTACCAAAGAAATTTGAAAGTGTTTAAGACAAAAACAAGTGATAGGAGCTTAGATATATTCTTCCTTTACATTTTGATACCAAAAATAATTTAATCGGCATAGTTTTTGAGGAGAAAACAGGGTAATACGAAATGTCGTTCAGTCATGGTTTTTGTAGGTAAAATCGTTCTGAGCTGCAGTTGTCCCTATTGCACTCTACGGGGAGAGACCATATATAGCGCGACGGCAATAGTTTCTTCAAATACCTATTACTCGATTCCCGCGTAGACCGACTATTAAGTCGGCCCTTTGTTGCCCAAGTTTAAATAAATAAAGAAGTTAGGGAGAATGAGGTCTAATAATCTTCCGCTCACCAGATGTCACTAGTTTGGACTGAGGTAAAGATATTTGTTACACAATGTCATTTAATTGTGAAATTAGATTTAAATGAAACTCTATCAGTGTCTGGAATAGAATAGAATAGAATATTTTTTATTTAATATAGATCACATGATGTGTAATTCTTATTGAGTCATTTTTTCTTTACCACTAGTTCGGAAAACTAGCCTCTGTTCTTGGAAGAACCAGCAAGAAATCCAGCGGGACTTTTTTTAAAGTAAATTTTACATGAATGGTTGCACGAAATATTTCCAAAATGTATTTTAAAAACAGCTTGGAAGCGACCATCTGAATACTAGGGGCTATTATCAACCATGTATTTATTATAATAACCCTTTTTGTATAGTTTATGTTTAGTAAAATATTTAAACTTGGTAATAGAGAGACCTATATCCTCTGTGACTTTGTTATAATAGTGTATACATTGCCCCAAGAATGAATTACTGACTTTGTGGAGTCGAGAAACTGGTATCACTTGCGTTTGGTCCTAGTGTTTATAGTGTATATCACTTTTTTTTTACTAAAACTACCTTTTTTTTTATGAACATACATAAAATTTTCCTAAAAATACTGAGAGGCCAAAGTTAATATATTTTTTTTAAATTTTTCTCTAAGAGACTCGCGGTATTAGATTGTAAATAGCTGTAATGGAACCCTTCTGTAAAAGAAAAATAGTTTCTTAATCAGCCGCATCTCCCCATAGCAAAATCCCATAAGACATTCATCATCATCATCATTACAGCCCTTCACAAGTCCACTGCTGAACATAAGCCTCCCCCAAAGAATGCCACAAAGCACGGTCCTGAGCCACCTGCATCCATCGACTTCCTGCATGTCTGACCAGGTCGTCACTCCATCTCGTGGGGGGACGCCCTACACTTCACCTACCGGTACGAGGCCGCCACTCGAGAACCTTTCTTCCCCATCGGTTGTCGGTTCTTCGAGCTATATGGCCGGCCCACTGCCACTTCAGCTTACTAATCCGTTGGGCTATGTCGGTTACTCTGGTTCTACTGCGGATATCCTCATTCCTAAGTTTATCACGCAGAGAAACTCCGAGCATAGCCCTCTCCATAGCTCGCTGAGCGACCTTGAGCTTTCTCATACGGCCAGCAGTGAAGGAACACGTCTCAGTTCCGTAAGTCATCACTGGCAACATGCACTGGTTGTACAATTTCGTTTTAAGGTTTTGAGGTATGTCTGCCGTGTAGTGGCGGTCAAGAATATCCACTACCCCATATCCTCCCGTGGGTGTCGTAAAAGGCGACAAAGGGAAACAGGCAGGAGATGGGCAGCAGCATCTTCTTGATAACAACAAACTAACAATAAAAAAAAACTGCGGTTGCCAACCCGCTCGCCAAGCGTGGCAACTATGGCAAATACCCCCCTATGAATGACAGTAACATAAGACATTATGCTATGGAAATAACTGAAATAAACTAATCTAGCTGTCTCGACACTAGTGAGACCTCTAATCTTTTTTACAGCATAAGCTGCAGAATTTAGTCTGCTTGCTAGTTTGGTTATATGGGGGCCCCACTGCAGCTTTGCGTCGAGAGTGATACCAATAAAAACATTGGATTGAACAGGGCTCAGTTCTTCCCCATTTAAAAACACAATGGTATTCCGATTCTTAACATTCGATGTAGTAAATTTAATACATTTAGTTTTATTTCCTTTTAAATGTAGATTATTAACGTTAAACCAATGCACTAATTTTGAAGTATGTATAAATGTGACGAAGTAAAAAATGGTGTTGCGCGTCACAATTAATGCCTAGTATATGGCGACACTAGTTACCACTAGTGCCTTGTAGTATAGAGTAGCAGAACTAGGAGAGTCAATATCCTTCTAGAAATTGCCATGGAAGAACTTTCTAGAACTATCGACACCTAGTCAGTCGGGACCGGTATGTACTCGAACATTCTAGATGTGTCTACAGTAAAAGGTTCTGGAATTATCTGCGGCCCTATATAAGGCCGGTATAGACCGCGACCTGAGTCAGTAATGAATTGGCGATACAAGCGAATATTTCGAAACGATATAACTGCGAACTAAAGCGATCAGTAGTACAATTGTCTTTTGTTATTAGTGTGGTTTTAAGTTGTAATTAGTGTTCTGTAATTAAAGTGACAATTTTTGTAATTCACTCGGCAGTTTAATTGTTACGAACCCCAAGCTCGTATCAATAGCATTATTCACTTCTTCACATTTAGATAATTGACGTTGAGTATTATATTAATACACAAAACAATGCTTTGGTGGTTTGTTCTTTAATTTTTTGGACATTTTTAATTATTTTTTTTAATGTTTCTACTATAAGAATTTTCTGTAGTTTGGTTAATTCATTTCTAATCTTATTAAAATAACTAACATTACACAAAGAAACATTCACTCTTACAATTTTTCCGCAAGACATATTTCACATCACGATTCACGAAACAAAGACGTGGATGCCTTCATTGAGCATAAGTTTAATGTGGTAGAGTCACGCTGCAGCTATATTATGGTTATAGCACGAACAGGTTGGCTCGACCTGGGTAGGACTACTCTCACAGAATACCAGCAAAAATAGCAACTTAAAACGGGGTATGAGTGGTAAATTTGAATACTGTGTACCTTTTTTACTGGATACGAGGTACTTTATGTTAGTTTTTAGGGCTGACAACGCATCTGCATATTGATCCTTAATAGTGGATAACTGTAAATGTCTATGAGCCCCAGGATACATTGTAACATCAGGTGGACTGTATTTGTCACCTTTATTCTATAAAAAAGTGTGTAATGACCCATCTTACTGGAAAAGAGGCATTTCATCTTAGCCCTCACATGCGGGTGACAACGCATATGCATTTTGATTCTTTACTGAGGATAGATGTAGATGTCTATGGGTCACAGCAACCACTTACCATCAGGTGGACTGTGTGCTCGTTTGTCACCCTATCCTATAAAAATGTAGTAGGGTCGCAGCGGCCGTGTAGCAGTACAGAGGCGCGGTACCTGAGCGCGCGCATGAGCACGACGATCTCGGGGCGGGCGGGCGAGGCGCGGCGCAGCGTGCCGGCCATGCGCAGCACCGCCGTCAGCGCGCGCAGCCCCCAGTCGTAGTGCGACTGCTTCGACAGCTGCTCGCGCGCCACCTTGTACAGCACCGTCATCTTCTTAGCTAGCACCTGCCGTTTTAAAACTACTTAATGGGGTATGCACGTATTACATAATATGAATATTGCTATTACAATTTGAATGTCTTTAGCAAAAGCAAATACAAAGAGATGGCATAAGCAACTATGCACTGTGATTCTAACTAGGTCCTGACATCATCACAGTGGGCGTGGCTTTACTTGGTATACTGTCAGTGTTCGTCCTGTGCGCATATGTGTCGAAAATCGCAAATCGGTGTATTTTCATAGCATTAAGAAGAAAAGGATGATGTGTTGCGTTTTATCGTGTAAAAACTAGTAAGATGTCTAGCGTCTGCTCTGATGGATGGCATCGCATTTCATTTGTAAGTAATTTTTTTATCTAATTTATTAAAAAGGTTCTAGAAAGATCTCTGCGTCGGCTTTAAAATGTAACTAAATATATTCGACACTAGATGGCGACACTTTATGTCATAGCAACTATAAATATAAAGGTACGTAGAGCTCAGAATTAGTAAAATAAACATACGAAGATGTTGAAATTTGTAATGCCATCAGTCCTAAAGAATTTTTAATCGCCAAAATATTATTTTTATAGTGTTTATAATTAGCTAGCTAAGCTACATTGCAACATTAATATGGAACGATGCGAGTAGTTTTACTATTTATCGGTAGATGGAAAATAGTAAAGTGGGTGGATCATAACATCTCCTCGCCCCGCAAATTGTAACGCGTTGTTACATAGTGAAATCTAATTATAACACCTCCTCTTTATATTTGCTCCGTGGTCTTTAGGCAAGAGTGAATAGGTTTTTGCTACGTTAAGACAGTGCGATTTACGATCTAGGGATAACATATGAATTTATAAAGAAATTCTGCGTGGTAGTCCGTAAATTGCGAGTCTGAAAATTGGCGGTTTTTCGCTCCCGTGCCCCGGAAAGCGCATAAAGCTGTTAATCCTGAGCTTGATCTCTCTCCGATCGTACCAAATGAGCGTTGCATCGGATTATGAGTGAGGGAACAGAGTGCACCTGTACTTACACATACACTCGTACACTATCATATGCAGATGGCTAGTTTTCGTTGAGACTAACTACCGTGACCAAAATTCGATCTTGACATTATAATTATAGACCTTCCACATTAATATATAAATATATTACCTTTTATGACACTCGCGGGACGAAACGCAATGATGGATAATATTATAATACTAAGGTAATTACGTCTAAAATGTGACTTACTTTAGCCGTGAGAAAGCCGTCGGAAAACAGCGAAATCTGACAGATCATCTCTAGATCAGGCAGGATGCAAACCACGGGACGGAACAACGCTTTAACAGACTCCGGCAGTTCGGTGCGTCCCGCGTATCCCGGGTTCATGGTTATAAAGATGCCTACTTTGCTGTCCATGACTATCTCTTGTCCTTCAAACTAGTGAAAAACATAAAAATTAAGAAGAGTTAGACTTAGGAACGGGACGTTCGCTTATAAATGTTATAGTAATAGAACAACCGGGGTTGGCACCCGTTGCTTTTTTTACCGTGCACTCAAATTGTAGTTTAGGATGAATTAATTAATTAATTATTCATTCGTTACACACAACACAACGCATAATACGAAAAAATATCCTTCATTTATGATAGTGAGGTTTCCTTTACTCTCTTATTCCTACTAATCAGAATTAGAATCAGAATATTTATTGCCAGTGCAGTGTATGAACGATTTGCGGGTGACATTGCAATTAAATCATACACAGTTTACCCTTATGGGATATGCAATAATTAAGAAACAAAAACTTCATACAAATTAATGTTTGGTTTTAAAATATTTATTTAAATTATAATAAACATTATGTATTAACCACTTTTTGAGGTGTATTTTAACAAAAACAACAAATTTTAACTAATTTAATAATGCTTCTGAAAACTGTTGCTTTAATTTTATAGCCAACTGCTTTAGTCTAGAAGGAAGTGTAGTTCTAAAATTAATACTTTGCCGAGTTCTAAATGACTGTACTGAAAAAAATGAACCTACTATACGAGTTTGGGAAGATATATATAAAAGATGATATAACACTTGCAAGATTATTTGTTAAATTTTGGTTGTTTTTAAAGAAATCCAGTTGTAAATTTATTATCCTCGCGTGTGTGTGTGTGTGTGTGTGTGTGTGTGTGTGTGTGTGTGTGTGTGTGTGCGTGCGTGCGTGCGTGCGTGCGTGCGTGCGCCCGTGGGCGCGTGTGCGAGTGAGCGCGTGCGCGCGCGCGTGAGTGTGTGAGTGTGTGTGTGTGTGTGTGTGTGTGTGTGTGTGTGTGTGTAACCTGCATCAAAATCGGTTGATGCGTTAAAGAAAAATTATTAACAAAAAATTTTGAAAAAGTTTTTTTTTCAAATATATGAAATTTCTAGACGGATCGTTTTTGATGTTTTTATTTTTGAATTAACGATGAGAGCTTAAAAAACTGAAACTGTGAAATATTCAATTTTGAAAAAAAAAATAAAAAACGTGGTTTTTCAAAATTAGCGGGAAGTTCCAGTGATGTCCTGTGGGGTCAACATTATTTTTCGCTGTCGCACACACAATTACGTTACGCTCCTTCATTTACTGAGCATCTTTCTGTATTCGTTCGTATTGATTTCGTACTAACCACAATAGACTTCGTTTTTTGCACTTGATTGTTTGTGATTTCGATTTGGCTTGTTTATTTTCGCTTTAAGACGACCTTTGCTTTTCCGTCTATCGTTAATAGTGTGATTATGCAGTGCTGGGGATGCAACACTAGTGCTGCAGCTAGACTTTATCGTGAGAGGTACCCAAATGCTACTCGTCATCGAGACCATTTTTTTTAAATGTGGCACCATTTACTCTATTCAGAGAGCCGACCCCCAAAGCAAGCATAGCGTGAAGGGAGACCTACCCTCCTTTATGAGGACGTTGTGCTAGCAGCTGTCCAAGAAGACCCGAGGACTTCAGAGAAGTGCAGCTCAAAGTATATTGCAAAAAAATGAGCTTAACCTATACCACGTACACAGAGTACAAACTGTTCTTCCCCGAGATTATGAGCCTCGGATTTTTTTTGCGATCCACGATTCCCTGAAAAAATGTTATGGCCGGATGAGTCCACGTTTAAAAAAGATGGATACATGAATCTGCATAACTTACACGAGTGGCACGTAGAAAATCAAATTTGATGAGAAGATCACAGTATCGCTTTAGAATTAACCTTTGAACCGGAATTTCGAGTGGACATACAATCGGTTCTTCTGAGCTGCCAGATATTTTGACTAGTGCAGTGTATTTGGGTTTCTTACAAAATCATTTGCCAAATTTATTGGAGAACGTCCCTCTAAGTATCTACAGGGACATGTGGTTCCAAACAAGACGGTTGCCCAGCGCACTGCGCCCGCTCAGTGAGATAATATCGCAATGAAGAATACCCAAATAGGATTTGAATTTGAATCCATTAGATTTTTTTAATGGGGAGCCGTCAAAGAAAAAGTTTAATTAAAACCGATTGAAAATGTTATATAATAGCTACTCGTATGCTACGGCAAAGAATTTGTAAGTAATGGTAGATTCCCTCGTCTGATATCCAGATTCTTTTTAAGAAGATGCCGAGCGTGCATTGCAAGTGAAGCAAAGCAGTTTCAGCATTTGCTGTAAATGTCCTTGATTTTTAATTAAGGCATTTTGTTTGTTTAATTTATTAATTTAAAAGTTATCTAAAAAAGAATGATAATCCCAATTTTAAAGCAAATACACTGAATTGACCTCACTACTATGGCTCGTGTTGATTTTGGACTACCTGAAAAGAGGATTTCTATCTGGCTCATACTTCGTCAACTTCTCCCTCCGTTTGGCTCAAACTAGAATCTTAAGTAACAGGCTTGAGAAAAGCCTGTTACTTAAGATTGGGGTACACAAAAATCATTTTAGACAGCTAAGGAAAATTAAATTGCAGCTTACTTTCTTAAAAAAACACCAGTTTTTTCATAATTTAACAAATAATCTTGCAAGTGTATTTTGGAATCCTTATTAAATGCATCAACTTTTAAAGTTACTTGCCAAACTCGTGTAGTACATTTTTTTAGTACAGTCATTTAAAACTGGGCAAAGTATTGTTACGAGCTTGGGGTTCGAGACAATTAAAAACTGCCGATTGAATTACCAAAATTGACACTTTAATTATAAAACACTAATAATAAAACGCAATTGTATTACTGATCATTTTAATTCGCAGTTATTTCGCTTCGAATTATTCGCTTATATCGCCAATTCAATACTGACTCGGTCGTGGTCTATACCGGCTGTATATAGGTCTTCAGATAGTTTCCACAACCTTCTACTGTAGAAACATCTAGTATTTTCGAGTACAGATCGGTCTCGAAATTTCTAGAAGGATCTTGTCTCTTCTAGTGCTCCTACTCGACATTAGAGGGCGCTAGTGGTAACTAGTGTCGCCATGTACAAGACATTAATAGTGGCGCGCAACACTGCCCGTCCCGAAGACTATGACTAAGACATGATCGTCCCGAGCATTATTGGCCCCATAATAATGCGCCAGTCGATCCACATAGACTATCTTAGGAGTACCTCTGGCACCTTTCTTTATCCGGTAGGTTACGTCATTGATCGTTGTCACAATCCGGTACGGTGCGTCCCATTTAGCTTGAAGCTTAAGAGATTTCCCTTTGCTGCAAACTGGATTGTGTAACCACACTAGTGAACCTTCGTCAAACCCTTTGTTGTTCATTTTGCGGTCATACCGTGTTTTCATCTTCTTAAACGTTTGCTGGCCCGACTGTCTGTCGTGCTCATAAATGTCATTCATTTTGTTCCGCAAGTCATTTGCATAATCGGTTATACTGCGTGGGGCATCAGGTGGTATTCCGGTGATCAAGTCTACAGGCAGCCGTGATTCTCTCCAAAAGTTTGCGAATGCTGGTGTCACTGATGTACTTTCGTGAACAGCACTTCGATATGACAACAAAAACGGTTATATGTGCCTGTCCCAGTCTCGTTGCCGTTTTTCCACAACTTTTGCTAGGTACCTCTCCAATGTCTGATTAAATCGTTCTACCATTCCATCAGATTGTGGGTGGTAAGAAGCTGTTCTTGTTTTATGAGTACCCATAACTCGGCAAGTTTCCTGGAATATTTGAGACTCAAAATTCTTTCCTTGATCGCTGTGAATCTCTAAAGATACTCCGAAACGACAGAAGACTTCATGAACTAGTTTATCTGCAACTGTTGAAGCTTCTTGATTTGGAATACCGAAGACTTCCGGCCACTTAGTGAAGTAATCCATCATCACAACCATGAAATACTTGTTACCATTTTTACTTTCCGGAAACGGCTCCGCAACGTCAATGGCTATCCTCTCCCATGGTGCACCAACATTGTACGATTTCAATGCGCCTCTACTACGAGTTTGAGGTCCCTTTACAGCCGCACAACTTGTACATTTGCGGCACCAGTCCTCGATATCGTCACGACAGTTGACCCAGTAAAACCGTTCTCGGAACTTCAGTAGAGTTCGTTTAACTCCCAGGTGGCCTCCTGAACAACCATTACGATACAGCTGTAAAACATCCGGTACTTTAGTCTTAGGGACAACCATTTGCAAATGGCAACTGTCTCCCCGAACATTTTACCATTTACGGCACAGGACTCCATCCTCAATCAGCAATCGTCCCATTGGGCCATCGCTGAGACGTCACTCCACTCGGGCTTAGGAGCATTGGCCTTCATCCATTCCAGAATCGGCCTGATGTCCGAATCTTCCTGCTGTGCATGTTTTAGGCTGTCCTTCCACTCATTGCTGAGGTGGTCTGTTCTGAGCATTCTCACAGATACCACTTCCTTACCCTCTTGCCTAGTACAATGCCTCAAGGAGTTGCTCGTATGTCACTTCCTCATCGAGAGATTCCAGAACAGTTAAGGCCTGGTCGCGCAGGCCTAGGGTGAGAGCAGTCATGGTTTGACTTTTATTCCACCCGTTCGCCTTCATGACAGCCTCGAATTGGATTTTGTAGGCCGACCAGGAAGAAGTCCCGTCGAACGGCGGCCCTTTGAATCCGCCTAACGAAGGTTACGTGGTAGAGCCACGCTGCAGTATAGTTGTAGCACGAATGGGTCGGCTCGACCGGGGAAGGACCACGCTCTCACAGAATACCAGCGTCAAATAGCAGTTTAACACTGCTGTGTTTCGTATGGTGAGTGTAGAGAACCGGAGACTCTTTTTACTGGAAAAGAGGCATTCCATCTTAGTCCTCACGAGTGACAACGCATCTGCGTTTTGATTCGCAAACGAAGATAAATGTAGATATCCATGGGCCACAGCAACCACTTACCATCAGGTGGACTGTGTGTTCGTTTGTCACTCGAGCCTATAAAAAAAATGTGTTGTAGCTACCACGGGAGCTGTAACTCCATCCCCAAATTTGAGGTCGTCCAGCGTTTTCTTCACGTCAGGCATCACGTTGTCAACCCGATTGTGCACTTGGTCAGTAGCTGGCTCTCCTCAGCTGCGGCGTTGCATTACCAAATCGTCTCTGGTCCGTCTCCAGCTAGCGTTGACTTCGGGTATGGATACCCTCCATGTCGCCCTTTGGTAAAATCTGCATGATTTGATCCCACTTCTAACACCAATTGTAATGAGATTGGGGTTTGTGACAATTAAAAACTGCCGATTGAATTACCAAAATTGATACTTTAATTATAAGACACTAATTACAACTTAAAACCACACTAATAATAAAACGCAATTGTACTACTGATCACTTTAATTCGCAGTTATTTCGCTTCGAAGTATTCGCTTATATCGCCAATTTAATACTGACTCGGTCGTGGTCTATACCGGCTTTATATAGCTCCTCAGATAGTTTCCAGAACCTTCTACTGTAGAAACATCTAGTATGTTCGAGTATATATCGGTCTCGAAATTTCTAGAAGGATCTTGACTCTCCTAGTTCTCCTACTCGACACTAGAGGGCGCTAGTGGTAACTAGCGTTGTCATGTACAAGACATTAATAGTGGCGCGCAACAGTATTAATTTTGAATATGTGGTTGGGAAAAAAAATCTTTCTGGACTGGAGCAGTTGGCTGTAAAATTTAAGCAACAGTTTTCAGAATACATATTATACTTATAGCATAATATAGCATATTCAGGATTACATAATAAAAAGAAAATAAAAAAAAGTTAAAATTTGTAGCAACAGGAGAAAAGACTGTCACAGTGTAGATTTTCTCGATTTTTTAATAAATGCCTGATTATTTAAAAATACATAAGCAAATATTTTTTTATATTTTTCTGTTAACTATTATGACTTGATCTATCACACGATTCCGGCTCGTCGTAGACTTCAGGGACATCCTGTATAAGAAAGTGGGAAGTAGTAAGCTAGGATGGATTTTGAGAAATCTTTTTATAAAATGTTTTTAACTATTATATGTATGTGTTTAACATTCATTGCTGGACATGCGCTTGATCCATTTATGGGAAACTAGCCACCAGTTTCGGCCTCTATTAATATGGAGTTATTTAGGTTAAAGTTAATTTAAAATAATCCTCCAAGACTACTTATTTTATAATTTTTTCGATTTTACAAAAAATTTCAAGTTCTTTTCAGATAAAATAAAGCTTAGATCACTCCACATTGCTCCATTACTCCTTATCTGTTCATAAAGTTCCATCACTATCGGTTCAGCCATTCCAAAGATTAGCCCGGACAGACAGACAGATAAAAAATATATAAATAGTTATTCATGTCTTAATGATACGCAAATAGTGATAATGAGCTCAATAAAAGGGAGTTATTCGGACATTACAGACACACACTTCAATTTTATTTATATGTATAGACATAGATTTGCCATAAGCCATAATTACCACGCTCAGTAAGGGTAATTGATCACAGTAATAGACGTCTCGCACAATTGAGAATCTCCGTCATCCCTCTTGACTATTTTACTATTACTGTAAGCTGAATGGTTTTATCGCCATCTATCTGAAACCATAAGATCTTTTTGACATTTCTCTTAGTCGCCTATAAGGACACCCACTGATCGAAATTGGGAAATAGGTTTTCTTTCGGCCCCAGTGAAAGGTAAAACTATTCATCTCATAATGTCTCTTGGGATACATCATCTCATGTCATCGACTATTGTGACGTAGACATTTATATTGTACCTATTGTTTCCGATATATTATAGGGAACTAATGGTGTGAATCAGGCAATTATTGCTTATTCACTCATTTCAATGGAGGTTCAGGGTACAAAGTAATGTTCTGTTATATTTTATAATAACGAACTACCAATAAATATTGGAAATAGCATTCTCAAGTTAATAAGTAATACAGTGATTGCAAAAGATAAGCTTACCGTGAATCTCTTTAGTTTCATAAGCAAAGCGCTGCGAATGCACTGCAGTTGCGTTGATATGACAGAAAGTACAGACACATCAATGCGATTAAATTCGTCAAAACATCCCCAGGCTCCACATTGACACAGACCAGCTAAGATCTGTCCCACTGCCCGGAAGTCCATACCTTCACCGCAATTCGTCACTACACAGAGCAGGCCTAGGGCTTTCGCTAGATCTTTAGTTGTCTCCGTTTTTCCTGTCCCCGCCGGTCCTGTTAATATTATCAAATTCATCTTAAAGCTAAAATCGCATTTGTTACTTCTGCACAAAATTTGTAATATCATGTCATATTTTTAAATAACTTCATTTTGGATTGACAACTGAGCTTGCATAAACTTGATTCGCTAGCAAGCTAGCAAAGTTATGAAATAAAATATGAATAATCAAAATTTGACCTAACTGATTTATCAAATGTATTGTCTTTAGTTTAAGATTCTCAGACTGAATTCAGTTAATATTTGAATACCTGCTGGTGCTCCGCCGAGTTGCATAGTAAGAGCCTGTGTGATTGTCAGATAAATGCGATCAGTCAAAGGCGTGATTACGAGACGCCCATTCAGCCCCATGTATTCGTAGCCGTACTCGAACAGCCCTAAAATATAAAAAATAAAACAACATTATATTAAATAATAAGGCAGGATCGAAAATGAGTTTCAGTTAGTATTATTTTATATCCTACTCCTAGTATTATAACGCACAGAACGATTATAATATCCAACTGAGGTTCAAATGTAGGTATAAAATCCATTATTAAGCACGTAAGCGGTGTGTATATACGTAGTTCACATACACATACACACAAACACACGCACGAACGCACAAACACACACTTACACACACACACTCACACTCACACTCACACACACACACGCAGAGAGAGAGAGAGAGAGAGAGACATACACACACACACGCACGCGCACGCACACACACACACACACACACACACACACACACACACACACACACACACACACACACACACACACTAGTGAGCAGGAAACTCATTCAGTTCACTAGGCAGTGTGAGGAAGAAGAAGCATACCAGTGCATTGTTTTATCCACAGATTGTCGTCACGTTTAAGCCAGTAGAAGCGCAGCTGACTCTCCCACTGGAAAGCGGCGGCCTCGGTCACATTGTCGCGGACAAACCCCTCGATAATGTCGCGCGCATGCACGTCGATCGTCGTGATCGTACGGAACTTTAGTCGGTCGTTCGGTGACAGATCTGTAACAAGTGACACGCATATTTTTATATAAAAAATAACAAAGTAAGTCATTGTGATCTATTATTCAGTACTGAAACACTTACTATTCCTGTACCGTTATAGAGCCACGCCTTAGCTTTAATATGTTTGTAGCATGAATAGGTCGGCTCGACCAGAGAGGGATCATCTGGGTTTGGGAAAAAATTATGATATTTGAGGAAATTTCTGACATCTTGTCTGTTATTGGTTTTTTTTTATATAGGATTAGGGTGACAAACGAGCACACAGACCACCTGATGGTAAGTGGTTGCAGTGGCCCATAGACATATACATCTATCTTCAATTACGAATCAAAATGCAGATGGGTTATCACCCCTGACGACTAAGATGGAATGCCGCGTTTCCAGTAAAAAGGGTCTCCGGTTCTCTACACTTACCATACGAAACACAGCAGCGTTAAGCTGCTATTTTACGCTGGTGTTCTGTGAGAGGGTGGTCCTTCCCTGGTCGATTTGACCCATTCGTGCTACAAAATATATCATTAATATAGCTATAGCGTGGCTCTACCACGTAAAATCTAAACCACAATAAATATAAAAAATAATAAAGTAATATAACTAAAATATATTAAGAAATATTGAATTCAAGGTACTATAAAAATCATTTTAAACATTATTAAATCGTAACTGACCTTGTCTTACTTTGACCACAAGCCCATCCAACTGTTCATTCTGTTGCTGCAGGTGTTCCTTCATGGCGCGTTTGTTGCCCTTACGTATCCGTAGAAATGTCTCCTCAGTCTCAGCCGTCCACCATACGCCATTCGCAGCCAGGCATACCATGCCCTGATACTCCATTATCCACTCCGTTCTGTTGAGAGGAAATCAAACAATAAAAAAATATCATCGCTGAAACTATCTAGGCATAAGATGACTGCAATGAATTGATAAAATATGAGAAGTCAAAAGAACATAGTTTTGAATCTGTTATATGGTATTCTTTAGGAAAACTACTATCAAAACTGAAATTTATGAATATGATAATTTAAACTTTTACTATATTTTCGGCGTTCGTAGTCGCATTTGTACTATAAGTTAAATGCAACACCTTAAAAAAGTAAAATATTAAAGTTATTTGTGTTTTAAATCAATTAATATTACTTGAAATTGTTGCGTGTACAGTTGACTTAAATTTGGTAAATAGTTTGTAAACGTTTATATTGTAAAATTAATTTAAAAAAAATCTCGCTGGGTTTCTTGCTGGTCCTTCCCAGTACAGAGGATTTTCTTTAAACCAGTGGTAAAGTAAAAAATGACTCAATAAGAATTACTTGTAATCAATATTGAATAAAAAAATATTCTATTCAATTCCATTCTATTCTATAGCCTTTTTGCGAAATTTTTAAATAACTTTTATGCGGTATAGTTGCTTAAATTAAAATTAAAAAATAAGGTATAAAAAAAATTTAAATTGCTATTTACATCACCACCGCCACCGCTAAAAAAGTATTTACAATGGTTTCCTACCTCAAACCGAAAAACTCTTTGTCAAAGTATGTTAACTAACCTGGGAACATTCCAATTTTTACCGTAGTAAAATATAGCTTTCTTGGTGATAAATTTATTTGTGTTTCTCATCTCCGCAAGGACTAGGTTCATCCAGTCCTCGACTCTGCCTTCCGTGTACACGACGTGCCGGAAGTCCATTATCTACATCCCAGTTATGAACAAATGCTGTGAGAAAAGCTGTTCATGCATTTGCCTTAACAAGTTAGTTTTAGAAACAGGTAAATTATTAATAAGGATAGTTGTTGTAAAGATAGATGTAGCAATATACAGAAAACACTAGCGACACCATACTGTTAAACATATGAACTAAATATAACATATGATATACCACCTACACTGATATAATACTTTAAGTTGCAGATTTTTATTTTATGTATAGTAATAACAGAAATGTAAATAAAATATAAAAGAACAAAACGAAAATCAGACCAAATAATAATTAAAAATTAAAAATTTTGTACAACCGACTTCAATATAAATTATTAAGAATAACTCTAAAACTATTGATCAGACCTGGATCAAATTTATATGGGACCACATGAGAAGCACCATTTTTCTAATAAAAAAGAATCATCGAAATCGATTCACCCAGAAAATAGTTATGAGATAACACACATAAAGAACATACAGTCCAATTGAGTACCGTTTCCTTTTTGAAGTCGGTAGAAAAAGAGGGCATAAATGGGTTGGTTACTAGTAAATAAGCAGTTGAATAAATTTAAAAACCGATCAAATAAAATCCTTTGCGTTGTTCTTATAAACAACACGAACAAACACCGTTATTTATATTTAGTATACCGAAAGTACATATTCTATTTCATAAATATTCAAATAAGACAATCCGATGATAGAATTTATTTTAATTGAATGAAATGATTTTCCTTCGTTTTGCATCTTGTAGTATTATCAATTTTATAGGAAACGATTTTTCTTCACGTACATCATTGTTCGGTCTTATGTATAAAGAATACCAAAACATAAATATATTGCAAGCAGGTTACAGACTAATAAAAATATAATTACAAAGTTTGTTAGTATTGTGGATAGTAAATGTGTTATTTGAAATGTTAAGTTATGCTAAAATTGATACATATACATTGGTAAAATAATATTTTGTGAATCGTACCTCTCCTTCTGCGGAAATCATTTTTGCAGCCACTGGACGATTGGTGTGGTCAACATACAAATCTAATGCCCGTATGTTATCGAACATCTGTAAGTTAGATAAAAGTTGATTATACATTTAAAATAAAGTATAATAATATCTGCGTGACCAATTATCATCAGTTTTCAATGAAAAATAACGTGATTTGCGCAGAATATCAAATCACCATCATAAATACTGTAATTACATCACTTTACAAGTCCAAGTACAAGAACTTCTCTAACGATTGCCACAAATTACGGTCCTGAGCCACCTGCATCCATCGGCTTCAGATATCCGACAACCAATGGGAATGATGACAACCAATGATGACAGCACTGGTGATGCTCTATACACCGGCCGTGCCAATATTTCTCGGGAAAACGTCACCGAGTACCGGAACAAACTTGTGTCTGAAGTCGAGTCTTTGCTGGACAAAGTCTCGGATTGGGGGCGACTAAATCTAGTCCAGTTTAATCCTCAGAAGACACAAGTTTGCGCGTTTACCGCTAAAAAGAACCCCTTTGTCGTATCTCCTCAGTTTCAAGGTACTCCCCTTGTTGCCTCAGCCAGTATCGGAATCCTCGGCGTCGACATATCGAGTAGCGTGCAGTTTCGTGGTCACTTGGAAGAGAAGGCCAAATTGGCCTCTAAAAAGCTTGGCGTGCTCAGCAGAGCGGGACAGTATTTCATGCCGGCTCAACGCCTGCAACTTTACAAGGCGCAGGTTCGGCCTCACATGGAATACTGTTCCCATCTCTGGGCTGGGGCTCCCCAGTGCCAGCTTCTTCCACTTGACCGCATCCAGCGCAGAGCAGCTCGAATCGTCGACGACCGAGTCATTTCCGATCGGCTCGACTCATTGGCACTGCGAAGAGATGTTGCATCTCTTAGCATTTTCTTTCGCATTTACCATGGGGAGTGCTCTGAGGAATTGTTCGGATTAATCCCAGCCGCCAAATTTCACGAACGCACATCGCGGCAGAACTCCCGATACCATCCACACCATCTGGATGATTGGCGGTCCACCACTGTGCGATTTAGAAGATGTTTTCTTCCTCGCACAACTTCCTTGTGGAATAGTTTACCACCAGCGATTTTTCCGGACCGATACGACTTAGGGACCTTCAAGAAAAGAGCCTACTCCTTTTTAAAAGGCCGGCAACGCATCTGCAATTCCCCTGGTGTTGCGGTTGTTCATGGGCGGCGGTAGTCACTTACCATCAGGTGAGCCGCATGCTCGTTTGCCCCCTCTCCTATAAAAAAAAAAAAAAAAAAAAAAAAAAAACAAAAGTTCTCGAATTCATTCCGGTAAGCAGAGTGTAGCGTAATGACACCCCTTGATTTAGTAGCGGGACGCCATTAGTCTTATATTAATTATAGATTATGATGTATTTAATATTCGAATTAATTACTGACGCTAACTTTTTTTTTATAGGAGAGGGGGCAAACGAGCATGCGGCTCACCTGATGGTAAGTGACTACCGCCGCCCATGAACAACTGCAACACCCGGGAGGGAATTGCAGATGCGTTGGCGGTCTTTTAAAAAGGAGTACGCTCTTTTCTTGAAGGTCCCTAAGTCGTATCGGATAGGAAAAATCGCTGATGGTAATCGATTTCACAAGGAAGTCGTGCGAGGAAGAAAACATCTTCTAAATCGCACAGTGGTGGACCGCCAATCATCCAGATGGTGTGGATGGTATCGGGAGTTCTGCCGCGATGTGCGTTCGTGAAATTTGGCGGTTGGGATTAATCCGAACAATTCCTCAGAGTACTCCCCATGGTAGATGCGAAAGAAAATGCAAAGGGATGCAACATCTCTTCGCAGTGCCAATGAATCGAGCCGATCGGAAAGGACTCGGTCGTCGACGATTCGAACCGCTCTGCGCTGGATGTGGTCAAGTGGAAGGCGCTGGCACTTGGGAGCCCCTGCCCAGAGATGGGAACAGTATTCCATGTGAGGCCGAACCTGGGCCTTGTAAAGTTGCAGGCGGTGTGCCTGCATAAAATACTGTCCCGCTCTGCTGAGCACGCCAAGCTTTTTAGAGGCCAATTTGGCCTTCTCTTCCAAATGACCACGAAACCACACGTCACTCGATATGGCGACTCCGAGGATTTCGATACTGGCTGAGGCAAGAAGGGGAGTGCCTTGAAACTGAGGAGATACGACAAAGGGATCCTTTTTAGCGGTAAACGCGCAAACTTGTGTCTTCTGAAGATTAAACTGGACTAGATTTAGTCGCCCCCAATCAGAGACTTTGTTCAGCAAAGACTCGACTTCAGACACAAGTTTGTTCCGGTACTCGGCGACGTTTTCCCGAAAAATATTGGCACGGCCGGTGTATAGAGCATCACCAGTGCTGTCATCCGCATAGCAATGAATGTTACCAGTTAGCAACATATCAGTGATATGCAGAAGAAACAGCGTTGGTGATAGCATACAGCCTTGTGGAACACCAGCGTTAATAGGCTTGTAGTCGAAGCATGCACCGTCTACAACGACCTTGATGCTCCGATCTGCAAGGAAGCTGGTGATCCAATTGCACAATTTCTCGGGAAGCCCATAGGAAGGGAGCTTCGAAAGAAGCCCTTTGTGCCAAACCCGATCGAAGGCCTTCGCAATGTCCAAACTAACGGCCAACGCCTCTCCCCCTTGGACTCTACTGCCAAGATTCACTGACCCATAGATGTGTACCTGACCCATAGATGTGTATCTATGGGTCAGGTAGACCAGAAGATCACCAGCTGATCGACCCCGACGAAAACCGTATTGGCGGTCACTAATCAGCTGGTGATCCTCAATGTACCGCATGAGCTGGCAGTTAATAATGAATTCTATTATTTTGGAGAACAAGGAGGTGATCGCGATAGGCCTATAGTTGGACGGATCTGAGCGGTCGCCTTTTTTAAGGGATTGGGTGGACAAAAGCTGTCTTCCATGAATTCGGGACTACGCCTTGGGAGTAGCAGTATCGGAAAAGACGCGTTAGGACCGGTGCCAACTCCGGAGCACACGTCCTCAGCACAATTGGAGGGATTCCGTCAGGCCCACTCGACTTCTGGATGTCCAGGGAGAGGAGTGCTTTGCGAACCGAGCGCTGTGAGAACAGCACATCCGGCATGGAGCACTCACACCGCGTGATGGTCGGCGGTGTTTTCCCCCCATCATCAAGAGTCGAGTTGGACACAAAAAGGGAGCCTAAAAGGTCGGCTTTGTCTTTTGCGGCTTGGGCCAGTGAGTCGTCCTCCCTGTGCAGAGATGGTAGTGATGGCTTACAGAAATTCCCTTGGACAGCCTTGGCGAGAGACCAGAATGCACGGGTTCCCAAAGGAAGGCGAACTAGTCTCTCGCCAATTCTGCCTATGTGCTCTGACTTTGCCTTGGCAATAACTCTTTTGAAGGACCTGGAGGCGAAGTTATACTTCTTTTTAAGTGTGCTGGTGTTTACATCCCGAGTCGCCGAAGCCGCAGCCCAGGCTTGATAACACTCCTGCTTACTGCGTAATGCAGTCTTACAGGAGCGACCAAATCAAGGCTGAGATCTGCCTCCGATGGGTACCACAGATGATGGAACAAATAGTTCCATTCCCTTTAGCACCACATCAGTGACAGAGTCAGCAACAGGACTGGGATCATCCGGCGAGAAGCAAACCCGCCCCCATGGGTAGGATGCAAAGAAAGACCGCATTCCGTCCCAATCCGCTGATCTGTAATGCCAAACACGGCGGCAACCGCGAGGGGAGCGTGAGTGGCACCATACTCCGAATCAGACAAAGGTCCGAAGAGCCGAGAGGGGCATCGACGGAAACCTGATATATCCGTCCGGATGAGAGGTCAGCAGAAGGTCGAATAGGGAAGGTGTATGATCCTCCACATCTGGAATCCGCGTAGGCGAAGTAACCAGTTGTATCAGACCATATGCCAAGGCAAAGTCATAAACAGATCTCCCCGCATGATCGGTTAAACGTGAACCGAGCCATTCGGCGTGGTAGGCGTTAAAATCGCCAAGGATCACGATCTCTGCGGATGGGACCTGTTGTAGCAAGAAATCTGCAGCCATTTGGACGTGGTCGATGAGTCGGTCTATTTCGGCATTACCGCTATGGGAAATATAGAGGCACCCGTAGACGCGCGGATGGTCGAGGCACAAAGGAGTGCTCCAATTTGTACCCCGGGCAGGAGAGATACGAAATATCAGCCGGAGAGGAAACCTGCGTCTCGGTCAGAAAGAGCAAGATGGTAGTGGACGGCGTTTAGGCTAGAGTGAAGTCCCCTGATGTTGCTGAAATTCACGGATAGCGTGGCAGGGGTCGCCTTGGTATTGTTGCTCAGTTTGCCCCGAGCAGTTATGTTTTTGAGCGGAATTTGCCCCCCCCCCCCCCCCCCGCCCCCAGAATACGCGGGGTAGTCTGAGCACCCACGCTCAGGATTGGAATAACATGGTCGTGGATGCTCAGCAAGGGATTCTCCAGGGGTACTGGTACCCTCCTGGGGTAGTCTTACGTGTAATTCCGCTACCATGTTGATGGGAGGGGAATTGGGCCTCCGGTCACCTGCACTCACCAGACGAAACACAGAAGCAGAGCTTTTACTTCACGCCGGTATTCTGTGAGGTCGTGGTACCAACCCGGCTCGAGCCGACCCATACGTGCAACAGCAAAAACTGCTGCTTGGCTCTACCACCGTTAGTTTAACAATCGAAAGATTATTCCGAATTATTAACAAATTAACAAAAAATAGTAATGAACTACATCTACATCAATTATTCTCTTTTTGGAACGAAGTTCTTTATTGGACGGTACGGGTTTGGCGGATGGGAGCTAGGCGACAAAAAGTGTAAGATTTTTTCGTCACGTCCCCTTGTGTCATAGTGTAGACGGCCTTGGCGGTGAAATAAGGAAGTGAGATGGAATAATATCCATCTCCCTCGCACTTTTTATATCTACTAAACTATTGCAAGGCATATATAGAGAAGAAACTACGGAGTATAATAGACTTCATAGTACCTATTTGTTTCCATTTTGACAGTTATTTAGCTAATTCTAATGAATCTTAATACTCCAATGATTTAGCTCTGTATTAATTATAATTGCATATCGATACTTAATTCTCGTAACACAGATATTATAATTGGAAGATCAAGCATCTTGTAGCATTCAACAGTATACTTAATTATACCTCCTTAAATATCTTTAAATTAACACAGACTGGTGACGGAAAGTAGCTGAGACGTACGTGGTATGGTATTGCGTAGTTACTAATAGGTACATGTGCAATTGAGGGAAATATTGCTCTAGCCATCGTCATCTTTACAGCCTATCAAAAGTCCGTTGCTATATTCTTATAAGAAGTCCATATTGAAGACAATGTGGACTTCTCCCATAGATTGAGCTAACGAGAGGGATATTTGCCATAGTTGCTACGTTAGGCGGGCGGGTTGGCAACCGCTGTTTGGTTAAAAGATGTTGTTGCTACTCATGCTTTTTTTTATAGGATAAGGGTGACAAACAAGCACACAGTCCACCTGATGGTAAGTGGCTGCTGCGGCCCATAGACATCCACATCAATACTCGATTACAAATCAAAATGCAGATGCGTTGTCACCCGTGAGGACTAAGATGGAATGCCTCATTTCCAGTAAAAAGGGTCTCCGGTCCTCTACACTCACCATACGAAACACAGAAGCGTTAAGCTGCCATTTTACGCTGGTATTCTGTGAGAGCGTGGTCCTTCCCCGGTCGAGCCGACCCATTCGTGCTACAACTATACTACTAATATAGCCGCAGCATGGCTCTACTACGTGAAATCTCGTGTTACAGTTTCCCTCTGTCGCCTCTTACGATACCCACGGGATAAATTAGACTAAGGGGTTCTCTTACGTCACTACTACAGGGTAATTTAGTAAGTAACAATAAATAAGTGTATTAGCTCGATAAACGCTAGCATATGAAGCGGCCTACCTTGATCATATGCTCCTGAACGCAGCTACATTCACTACTACCGAGAATAGAAAGCAGCTCGTCTGTCGATATGAAGAAAAACCTCGGAAAAATCCGTCTTTTGGAGTCCAAGTAATCATTCAAAGACTTTTGACATCTGCAGGAGTAAATTTTATAAGCCATTATTATTATTATTCAATAAATTCATAAAAAAGACACTCCCTACTTTTTTATTGTAAATCTACACAGGCCTCCTTTCAATTCTGAGTGTTTTAGGGCAAGGAAGTAACCGCTACGCTGTCTCTCTGTGCGTGTTTGCGGATTTCAAATATCTTTGATTTTTTTACTATGATTTTTTTTTCACCGCCGAGTACAAGTAAACCAGCACTTACTTAAAACTGCAATAAGCAATTTCAGCAGTGTCGGCGGGGATCTAACACGAGTTGCTCGCGTACTGTAATGATTACGGCGAGCGCTTTGCCCCTGAGCTCCTGTTAGGGTGTTACTCTACTATTGACTTTACATGAATAAAAGATATATACCGAAAGATACATAAGTTACTGTAATACAACCAATGAACTTATATCATGATCATGATATACACCTGGCCGTTTTCGAGAATGGCGGAACATCAAAGTACTATGGGAAATTATTAGGTCCTTACATATGAAATTAGCGTTTTGTCGTACTGACCACTTTGATCTGTAATAACTCCACTTTGGTTAACAATTCAAATTTATAAACTCATTTAGCTGATACATTTGAATTTTGGAAAGTCACTCGTTTGTTTTTTCCTCATTAGTTTTTTTCTTTGGCGTCGCTTATTACCGCACAATGAAAAACATGAAATATCGGTATATTTACGAGTACGAGTTCTACCGTGGCACCAGTGCTGCAGAAACAACTCGAAGGATTAATGATGCGTACCGCGCAGGTGTCGCAAAAGAAACCACGGTACATTTTTGGTTTCAACGTTTTCGTTCTGGAAATTTCGACCTTCAGAACCAACCCCGTGGACGGCCGGAGACCAAAGTGGAAAATGAAGAATTAAAGGCTATTGTGGAATCGGATCTATCACAAAGCACTTCAGAGATAGCTGCAGGCTTTGGGGTAAGTGATAAAACTGTATTAATCCACTTGAAGCAAATCGGGAAAGTAAAAAACTTGAACGATGGGTACCTCATGAATTGAGTGAATCGAACTTGTAAACACGAGTCGACTGCTGTGTTACTTTGCTCAACCGACACAATAATGAAGCGATTTTAAATCGAATCATCACCCTACATTACCTATGTTAATAGTTTGTTTAATATTATCAAGCAATGTGAAATTTATCAGTATGCTGATGATACTTGTTTGGTCGCGGCTGGGAGCAGTATTAACGACACTCTCAACCTCCTACAAGACGATTTTAATATTCTTATGAAGTGGTCACATGATAAAGGATTAGTCTTAAATTCTGAAAAGACTAAGTTAATGTACATTAGCTCTAGTCAAAATAGGAGTAAGGTTATACCTAGGCTCATTGCGCATGACCACCAATGCCTACACAAAGGACAGGTCCCAACTACATGTAACTGCGAAGCCATAGACCTAGTAGAATCACAGGCCTACTTAGGACTCGTCATAGATAGTCGACTAAATTGGAAAGAACATATTGAGCACGTGTGTGATAAACTTCGTGGTATGCTTGCAAAATTTTCCGTAATTAAATATAAAATTCTTATACAGCTATATAAATCACTGGTGGAGTCAAAAGTAGCATACGGCTTGTCTAGTTATGGCAGAACGTACAAATCACATTTAGAACATATTTATTTACTGCAGTCACGTATTCTAAAAACTATAGTTCCGGATAATATTAAAAACCAATATAAAGAATCAGATTACCATAACCTTTTTAGCCATTGCAAAATTATACCGATACACGAAAAAGTAAAGTTTACCCTTCTTGTAGAAGAATTTTTTCATGAACAGTTAAAAATTGCCGTTACCCGTGATTACTCCAAAACTCGCAGTTCGGGAAAACTTAAATTAGCCTTACCTAGATATAATAATTTATATGGTAAACGTACTTTAGAATATATGATCCCTAACCTAATTAACCAACTACCAGGATCTTTAAAATCCAAACTGACTCAAAAAAATATTAAATTAAAATTAAAAAACTGCTTTATAGATTGCATCATAAATAATTTAAGTAATACATAATATGTATTATCAATAAATATTACGATAACGCTTTAAAAAAAACGTCCTGTATATACAATCCATGAGCATTGCATCCTGAATTAGCAGATCACGCACTTAATAAATAATAAGTGTAATTTTTTACTTTACCCTCATAGTCATTATTGTCGGCGATATCGGTACACGGTAAAGTTTCTATAAACTTATGATTGTACCGTAATGTAATGTGTAACTAATAAATGTAATGTTATGAAATAAATAAATAAATAAAATTACTTGTGATGAAAAGTGGATACTGTACGATAATCGGAAGCGCTCGTCGCAATGGCTGAACCCTGAGACCCAGCCAAATTAGGATTTGGCTCAATTCCGAGTCAATTTTCGTTTAGGGTAGGCCCTAAACGAAAATTCATACCGCAATCACACATACTAGATTCAACCAATTTCATATCATGCAGTCTCTTTCGAAAACATCCATGCCCACTGAGTATCTGCGAGACTTGATAGTCCGGCACGACCCAATTCGCATTGAGCCGCGCCGACACGTCCGGGAAGAAGCAGAATAACTCTCTTCCATTCGTCTCGTTCATCCATCGTTCCTGCCATACATCCATAACTTCAACCCAGATTTCGCGCTTACGCCTGCTCAACTCCCCATTCTCAACGTTTCTACGCGCCTGGTCAATCCTACCAACACGAGTTACCTCCAGATCGGCCGGCAGGACGCCGGCTAATACCGGGAGCGCCGCAGTACTTATCGTCCTGTACCCCTTTGTCAACAGCACGAGCGAAGATCTCTGCGATCTCAGCAGTGCCGTTCGCACTGTATAGTTCCCCACCCGATCAACCCAAACGGCCGCAGCATATGTCACTATTGGAACATATGTACCCTTATATAGAACACGGAGTGCGGGGTAGCGTATGCCCCAAGAAGATGCCGACACCCGCGACATCTTCCCAAAGCATCGCCCAGCCCTCTCTCCCATATCTTTGGCGTGCTGAATAAAGAATAGACTCGTGTCTAACGTGACACCCAATACCTTAGTCGACGTTACGCTTTTAACTGACTCCGTCCCCATCCTTATAACAGGTGGTCGCTGGAACTTGCCTTTAATAGTCATGGTACATGACTTCGCGGAGGAGAAGGATAACCGGTTCCTCTCTCCCCACGATGATACCAACTCCAGTGCAGATTTGGCCGCTCTCTCTATTTCAGCTCTAGAGTTCGCCTCTATCAAAAGTGTCACGTCGTCTGCATACGCCAACATTTTCGTCCCTAAGGGGAACGGCAGCCTCAACAAATCGTCCAGCAGTAAATTCCACAAGGTCGGTCCAAGGACCGATCCCTGCGGGCAACCCATGGTCGAGCGTTTCCATTCGGCACAGTCACCTACGAATATACCCACTCGCCTGTTGGTGAAATAGTCCACCAACATGCGGTAGATATTAGGTGGAATCCCTCCTTGTTTTGCTTTCAGCAGTATCATTGGCCACCATGCATTATCAAATGCTCCTGATATGTTCAAAAAGACGGCTTGTACATACTTGCGCTGCGACTCGCGCGCAGTACTAAGCACGTCTTGCAGCGCCGTTACCGTGGACCGACCCGGCGAAAACCCGTGCTGGTATTCCGATATGCCCCTCACCAAGCTCGGAGCACACCGCAGCAAAACTAGCTCCAGCAACTTCCCAAAGATGGGGAGGAGCGTAATCGGGCGGTAGGCCCTGGGATCTGTTAATGGCCTATCATTACCTTTCGGAATAACTATCAGCCGTCCTTTCTTCCATACTTCGGGGAAAACCCCCTCTTCCACACATTTGGCATACACCCAGTGGAATTCCCTAGGTGCAGCTCTCCACACATTCTTAACAATTTTGGCACCAATCCCGTCCAGTCCCGGAGCAGTGTTGGGCAACGCCCTGACTATACCCCCCAAACACCCAATGGTTGGGGGAACGGCAGCCGATCCAGATGGGGTGAAGGCGGCCATGAGACGCACCCGCCCATGAAACTCAGTGTCCTTGGACGAATCATCGTCCAGACACAGAGCCCCGAGCAGGCTCCGCACGGCCTCCCTCACACCCCCCGAATGTCGCTCCGCGTACTCAATGGCATTAATGATATTACTGGGAGGACGATATCTCCCGCTAGAGATCTGATATGCACGTCCCCATGGGTCAGCATTTCCCATCTCCGAAATTTTTCTAAAATGGGCCAATTCCGTATCCCCCATCAACTGTCTATATCGCGCTCTCACACTATGGAATCGTTCCATGGCTAATTCCTCAGACCTGCCTCCTTTTCTTCTAGTCTTTTGCCATACCCTTCTCGCATTACATACTTTTTTCCTCATTCTGTCAAGTTCAGGCGTCCACCACTCATAGCCGACCTCCCGTCTAGGGCGCGCACTCCCCAGGACATCTTCCGCAGATCGAACCACAATGTCAGTGAACTGCACACAAAGACGATCAGCCGGCTGCCTTACTTTCAATGCACCCGTTCGTACATGAATAGTTCCACGAAAGAAGCCCCAGTTCACCCCCCGGTCCCGAAAACGGGCAGGCACCTCCACCGGCCCCGGGAGCCTCGCATGTGGTTCTCCTCCAACTTTGTATATTATGAGCCGATGGTCGCTCGAGCTGACGCAGTCCAGGACTCGCCACCCTGTGATCGAGACTCCTCTGGAGGAAAGAGTGGCATCCATCGCCGAAATGTACTACTTCCTGCACCTGCGGCCACTGTTCCTGGACTAGGAAAATATCCAAGTCCAGGTCCCTCGCAAGTGCAGGGAGCTCCTTGGTGGCCATCTCGCCGCGCCCCAAATTGAGCTGTCCAATTGATAAATAATTTTTATCCGCCATACTGTGTAGTATTGACCGCCCTCTCCTCTGCGTATACCCTAGCCGGGCACGTCTTCGCCATCGTGGCATAGTTCCTTGCGCCCGGCTTGCCAAACCTGCGACAAG